GAAGACAGGCATCTTCGTGCCTCACCGCCGTGAGAACCTCAAATCTTGAGATCAGTTTGTTATTATGGTTCATTATGAATTGATTCTTGGGTTATTTACTGTTGATGATGTTGAATGAAAGCTATCTGCCAAATCCGGAGGCGGGCAGGGTGTGTAAATTTTGGCAATTGAGTCTGTACAATAATACATCACACGTCATTTTCCACGATGTACAATAAATCACAAGTCGCAACACGGCCTACGCTTACGCAATTAAAAACGCGAGAAAAGTGACAGCATTTGCCTAACGCGAGAGATTAGAGATTGGAATGTTTAGTAGACCCTCCACCCCCTGACGCCTATATCAGCTCTTCTAATTGCGCCTGCGGGAAAAGACAGCCATCTTACGCCCAACTTCAGCCCTTAACATGGTGACAGCATGTTTTTCCAAAACTTTGGCATCAACATATACGTCCACACGGCGCCAAACCTTAGAAGAATATCATCCTGCTGCCGTGAAAAACTCAAATCTTACAACTCTATTATTATTGGAAAGCCAATGAACACTACAGGTATCACTCCAGTCAGAAAATACATTTTCCATATTTAAATAAATTTTCACTGGATCAAAATATCTTTTAATTAAACATTATGTACCAATTTCTTGTACTGTTCTTAAAACATAACACCACAGAAAGCATATGGTACTACATTAAAAGTAAGATTCATGAGACAAATCATAATACATAACGTTTTGGTTTAATATACACGTAACATACATACAGGTTATAGTGAACCAATATAAACCAAAATTAAACTAATGCAAAGTTCTGTGTAGCACTGCAATATCATGTTCCAGTGAGACCTAGTGAGAAGTACTGGAGATCAATAAGGTGGAGAGAAATAAGTTACTCTCTGATCACACATTCAGTTTTCGCAGTTTGTACAACGACCAATACAAATATAAAGTAGTTGACAATTCACTATGGCATAATATCTTACCTTTGTTACAATTTTGTGGCACTGTATTTTAAATAAATCTGTGTCAACTGTCAGTCACTCTGCCCTGAGGATAGAGACTACACTGTCTCCAAATACCAACCCACAATAAAAAGCCATGATGCAAAAATGAAAACACCAGCTGTTTGGTTTTGCCAGTCATTTTTAGACAAACCATCTACAGATAGGGGTGAGTGGTCAGCATCATGCCCTGGCCACACATTAACCCCCAGGAAACGACCCTGGTACCCACTGATTAGAAGGCTGGGTGGGCCCCAGAGCCAGTCTGGACACAGAGGGTAGAGGAAAAATCTGCTACAGCCTACTTAAAGCTCCTACAGTGGATCCTTGACATAATATGCCCTGATAATACCACAGATTTGGATATACCATGGCTTTGATCATGTCCCCCAATACAATTACACATGTTTTACATCATACACTTTTAAAGCAGGTACTGAAGCTGTCCCCTGATTTCACTGTATTTTTAAAAATGTGCCTGAAGGAACTGATGATGCTTGGTTCCAGTGAGATTTGAACAAGGTTACCACCCAAATGCTGTCACTCAGTTAACATGAGAAAAAAGGCATGGTACTGTGCACACACCACATACACAAAGGCACAAATCAAACTGTACTTATATACTACTTGTTTTCTCTTGCACAGCATCAGACTCCTCAGGATTCTTTGTTTCTTTCTTCGGTGGCAAGATCTGAAATCGTATGTCACTTCCTTTTTGTTGTTTTTGGACAACTCTCCCTTCCATCTTCATACTTTCTGCTATTGTATCATACACTTCTTCCTGAAAAGTAAAGTAATGTTGAACTGAAGCAATTAAACATGCATTCATTTAACATTAAATTACTGATGAGGCAACCAGTTCTTTACTTAACTTTACCACTAAGTTATACATATATTGCTGAGACAGTGCTTCTGTACCCATGTTAGGTTCTAGGCACTCTTTTGAAATTTCTGTTTATGGTCTTCATGGTTATGATACCATGTAGTCTTGTAAGTAGTAACCAACATTTTGGAGGAACATACTACCTCCATCTTTAGTGTCGAAAATTAGTGTGATATGATCCTCCAAAATTTTGGTAGCCACATACAGGCTATATTATGTCATAACCCAGAAGACAACATTCAAAACTGCTAGTTTGCCATCCATGAGTTGCCATGTACTGGAGATAAATGTTTGGTGAGAGTACATAAGGTTAGTTTTATTTTTATTTTTTATGTTTAGGAATACACATATTCCCCGTTCTTGAACTGGAAATAGGTGCAGTACTTCAGATACAGAGTGGAGGAAAAGAGAAAAACAAAATTTTGATGATTAATATTATTGCCTGTATTTTTAACTACTTTCAAGATTCTAATTTCCAAAATATAAAATACAGACTGTCTCACCAGACTGAAAAACTTGTCCAGGAACATTACGTTTCACTTCAGGGTTTAGTAGATTTCAGAGGTCTGATTCCCAGCAAGGGGAGATTTTTTCTTTACCACCATGTCCAGACCAGATCTGAAGCCCATTCAGCCTCCTAACAAATAGGTATTGGTGGTAAAAATGTGGAGCTATACCTTCACTCCCCCATTTTATCACAGTGTGACGCTTATTTAAGCACAAAGGCAACTTTAGCTTGGTCATGAGAGTGAAAACTAAATTTCTTTCTTCAACCTCCCTTCTTCCACACTTTCCTGTAAGTACCTAAATTCTAAACATAGTTCATTCATGTATAGTCGGCACAGTAGTTTTTGGCTGGTGGAATTTTCAAGGGGAAGGCTAGGAGCAAATCACTTGTGCAATAATATAATGCTGACTGCACTGAGAAGCTTATCGGACTGAACGCCCAAGCAAAAGAAATATATTGACCTTGCCACCTCAGGTACAAAGAGTAGGCCCGTCCGCCAGCTTCTCCACCGGCCAAAAACTACTGCGCAGACTATACAAACAAATCCAAACATTCAGTTTCCCCAATTGACATAATGTGGTTCAAAATGTTTCCAATGTATCACTGCTGTTATATCTTCGTAATACATTGATAGCAAATCAATCTAACAATATAGCATCAAATGAGAGGATGATTTCAGGGGATTAACGATGAATCTGAAAGGATGCAGAAGGAAGCAGTTGTGGCCTAATTTAAGGTACTAAAGGGTAGAAACATGAGAAAACATTCTATTTAATAGTGAAAAATGTGCAAATTCATGACTCAATTTGTTTATAAATGTACTTTAGAACTGTGTGGACTATTTGTTATTTTTCTCTATCTACTTATAATAAACCTTTTCATACCAATATTTACTCAAATATGGCTTACTGCATTCTTCTGAAAATAGACCACAGTAAACAAGATACAGCATACATACTATTACATAGAACTTACAGCACTTTTCATGTTCTCACTATCCCCACTTATGACAATTCTAACTCCATAAGTTTTTGAAAGCCATTTGCTAATATTCTTCAATTTTGAAGAAAGGTCATGTGGAGTAATTCTATGGGACAGAGTTAACAGTTTCTCCCCTTTAAATCCACTTTTCTTCTTAGCAGCAGCATCTTGTTGCAGTTTTCTGTCCTCCTTATAATACTGGGTTCCTGTCATTAACTGATATACAGGTCTCTGTGTTTTAGTTTCTAAGTCAGCTATCTTCACGAGCTTTAAATCACGTCGTTTTGCTATTTTTTCAGCCTCAGAAAGTGACAGAACTGTGGGGTTATTATCTATTCCTATTAGTGTAATTACAGGCCCAGTATCACTTTTGCGATTTCGTGACGAGGTGACTGATGATTTTTGAACTGAAGTGTCTGATGTTTTACACGTTACTCTTGTGTCTGTACAATACGTATACGAGAAGGTGGAAGCCACAGAATTAAGATTCCACAGTTGTTCTTGGAAAAGATTTTGTCCTACAAGCGATATATGCCTATATCCAGATAAATATGTTACATTTCTGGACTGACTGTGAACACCAAATAGAAACCTGTTTAAAAATGCTCTGGATCTAAGAACACAAGAACGAAACATTTTATTTACAGTATCACCACTCAAACATACATAACCTCCATTTCACTGAACTGCTCTCAATGTGCACTGCAAAGTGGTATTATCTGAGTTGCACGGAGCTCAGCTGCAGATCGGTTATCCATGGGCACAGAGTACAGATTATACCAACTCTCATAGTATAAACTTTCAGATATTAGTGGAATTTTCCTCTAACAGTTTGGCGACGCATTGCATGCTTGTATACTTACGATTTCTGATCTTTTATTATTGGCAAATTGAAGTTAAAAATACACTCTTTTTGAGTTACGAGGATTGTCTCCGCAGGAGGAGTTAAATTTAGTATGAACGTAGCTGCAAATACGATCGTTGTATGCTACAACAGGACAAAATAATACTGTTATATTCAAAATGTCCACAAATTGAGAATATGTTGTACCAGCCACAGTTACAGAGTATGAACAAGCGTACTGAGAATAATGACGCGCGCGAATACAAAAGTTTTCTATGATTTCGCTGTAGTCGTGTTGGTAGAATTTAACTCTACATAGTAAAGGATCTTTGGATTAAAAATGTGAAGGAATATCTTAACCAGCTGAAACACCATTAGCCTTTAAATGACTTCGTTTCATACAGTAAAATAGACTGCACGCCCACTAGTTAGGACATAACAAGATATGTTCGCGCACGAAACTGTTGGATGACGTTGCGGGTGTATTTATATACAAATTGGGTATGTCTGTATAAACATGACACTAATAGGCGATATTGGGTTGTCTATTTGTTCAGGGCAGCGACTATATAAATGAATAACTTAAGAAAACTTAATTATTCAGCTTAGCTCTGACCAACAGAAGTCCTACAAAGTTTTTCCGGTTCATGGCATAATGGAAAAACAACAGTGAGCTCTGTTGTAAAGGATACCATTTATACAGTTTGAACAGTAAAGGAAACAGGAATATGAAGAAATTCCTAAAAAAAAAAATTAAATGCATATGCTAATTCCCTTATTGCATACTCTCTAACTGCATATTATAAAATTCTCAAGTGTAAATGTCCTGAAGAATACTCTCAGAAGACAGTGTCAGCCTTTCACTTCCCATTTTCTAATACCATTTGCTATTGGACTACTACTAGTGGGGTGATGGTAATACTAGTAATAACAGCACCAACAGTAGTAATGATGAAAATGACAGAAAAACAATAGCACTAATGCATAGAAATTGCATATTAACAGTGGAAATTTCATTTGGAGGGTGAGGGGGCACTCAGTTTCTGGGTTGTAGTGTCATGTAGTCTGGTAGAAGTTTACTGACATCTCAGAGGTACATGTGATCACCCTGATGATGGAGGCAGCATGAACCTCTGAAACATCAGTAAACTTCTACCAGACTACACAGTGCTACAACCCAGAAGCCAGCTATCTTCATACTTGCCACTGTGAGAACCTGAAACCTTAATTGGTAACCATTTCATGCCTGAATCCAAAATGTCAATGAAGTTCTCCTGTTTTAGAGAAGAATCAAGATGGAGCCTGATTCAGATACTGAGATAAATCAAACATCATCTCACAGTGGATTTCATTTTATTGAAATAAAACAAGAACAGGGTGTAGATAGTGAAGATGAGGTGAGTATCTCCTTATTTCATGTCAAGAATGAACACCACAAAATAAAAAAGCTTTCCAGTGGACACAATACTGAGCCTGTTACATCCACCTCCCATTCTCACAACCACCACCCAAAAATCAAACAGTCAAACAAACACATTTGCTAATCAACTAACTTTCTGATAACAAAACATTAAGGTTCTGTACTGCTACTACTGAAGCCTGCAAATGGACATGATCCTGAGCCATTTTCATCCATCTACTGTCAACATATTCTCTTAAATTCCATCTAAATGTTATTACCCCATTCCCTTCTCAGTCTTCAAACAAATTTCTCTTAGAATTTTGTATGTTTCTTGTCTCCCTATTCAGGTTACATGCAGGACAATACCACTTCACTCCTTATTACTATTATTATTTATTCTTGTCTTTTCCTGGTACTCCTCCTCTTGAATCAGTGGTGAACCCCACCATTCAGGCTTAAAGTTTCAGCCTGTAGTACTTTCTTTATCATGTGTGATGTACTTAGTATGGCTGTTTTTTTAGAGAATCTATTGAATTCTTTCCTGGTATTGTTTATATCATCATCACAATCAGCCATAGAAGCTGTAGTAGTAGTTGTCAGCTTTATATAGCTGTCTTCCACCTTGTCATCCCCAAATTCCACTTCTGCTTATCTTGTACATCATCTGATTCATCGCCCTGATGACGGAGGCAGTATGACCTCTGAAACGTTGGTTAACATCGACCAGACTACACAGCGCAACAACCCAGAAGACGGAAATCTTCATCATCTGATTCCATTCCTCTACTAAACATGGCTTGCTGAATGCCTTATTTCCACAGCATCCTTGCTTGTCCACTCTGTTTACTTGGTGGGGTCCACTTATGCAGCATATTGGCCAAATATCTTCTTCTATTTGCATTAAATGTACATACTATTTCAGTCTGCACTCTCTCTGTTGTTTCTTCATCCATTTTACTGTCTTAACAGTACTATGTAATCTGTGTAAATCACAAAATTCATCACTTACTCATCCTAGTTAGGTTTAAATATTTTCCTAAGAAATTTGTTTTGGACACTTGTCATTTATATTCTTCCCTCAGAGTAAAGGATTTATTATAATTTCTATCTGCTTTCTCATTAGGACATACCAGGTTGTGTTGTGGAAATTGAAGAATCAAATTATGAAATACTTGCAGGACAACATGGAGAATGTATTGAAAACATGCCTGCAGATAGGTAAGAAACATGTGTTTAATACATAAGATTGGTGTTAAAATAGTTCTGGGTTCAGTCCTCACAGCTGTTAAAAATATCACAAATAAGACAACTCATTAGAAGACAATTTAAAATGGGAATAACAGCAAAGTTCTAATATGTGTGTATTTAAATATCCCTCATGTAAAAATTTCAGTGCTACAAATCAGTGATCATCGCACACCTTTCGAGAATCAGTTTTGATCTACATTTGTTTCTTATGATACAGTGTGAAGAAATTGCGAATGCAGTGTGAAGACTCTGACAGTAATAATGCTTCCACATTGCATCTTCGTGATCAAGAGAAGCAACAGAATGCAGGTACATGTATCAAGTGTGGTTATGAATTCAGCTGTTTTGTAGACCAAGACTGTCTCTCAAAAGTCACACATGGGGTTTGTCTTATGTGTTCTAAAGAACCAATAAATGAATTTCAAAAATATATAGTAGAAAACAAGGAGAAAGCTGGACAGTCTGGAGTGGAGAGTAATCATTTTGCCATTTCCACAGGGAAGAACACATTATTTGAATGTAAAATATGTTGTATTGAGTTTCAAACAGAAGGTGAACTAAATCAACATTCTGTTCTCCATAATGAGGAAAAGCCTTTTGTGTGTGAATTATGTGGTAAACGATTCCAGCAGTTTTATTATTTTGATGTTCATTATCGAGCACATGCAAGTTTGAAACCTTATGTATGCAAGTTGTGTGAGAAAGGGTTCTCAAAGCAATGTTTCTTAAAGATACACCATCGTTCACACACAGGAGAAAAACCCTATATGTGTGACATTTGTAAGAAAGGTTTTACACAATCCTGCCACCTTCGGAAACACACCATTATACACACAGAAGAGAAAGTACACATATGTGAAACATGTGGCAAGGCATTTGCACAGGTCATTCAGCTTGAAAAGCACTCTGTTATTCACAGGAAGCAACAGCCATTTGTTTGTGTTGTATGTAACAAGGAGTTTCAGCAGTCTAGCCCACTGAAAAGACATTACCTCATCCATACAGGGGAAAAGCCACATGTGTGTGAAACATGTGGTAAGGCATTCTCACGAGCTAGTCGCCTCAAGAAACACCACAAGATTCATACAGGGGAGAAACCATATGTGTGTGATGCCTGTGGCAAGGAATTCACTGAATCTGGTAACCTAACAAAACATTATCGAACTCACACAAAGGAGAAACCATATATTTGTGGAATCTGCAGCAAACGCTTTTCATGGTCAAACAGTCTGAATATACATATACTCACACACTCGAAAGATAAACCAATTATTTAAGTAGTTATAGACTCAGTGCAGTATGTTCGTACACACTGAAGTCCAATTTCTCATACACAGCGATCAGAATTATTAAAATCAAAGGTTGTTGCTGTTTGGAATTCTGAAGGATTTTACTAGTAGATTTTAATATTACTGGCATTAGTAGTATTTGTGTTTATAACATACAAATTTCACAAATTAAATTTAATTATCATGTAGAATTACAAGATATGTATTTCACACAGAATCACTGTATGTTGTAAAAAATACACCTAAAAAAGTTGCATACTTTGAAAGATGTATCACCATACAAAATTTTAAGACTGTATGTAAAAGGCAAGTCATATAATAAAACAAGTTTAGAAATTTACACATAGCATAACAATTCTGCTACATTTGTCAAAATTTGGCTTTTGTGAACAGTGCCAGTAATATCAAAATTGTCTGAGTGGCTGAGAATTTCTGACATAAGTGATAACCAATGCAGTCTGATGATTCTCCACCCAGTCACTTTCATGCAAACAAATGCATGTAGGTCTTCATCTAAGGTGCCTGTTATTTGTCTGATTTTAACCAAAACTGGAATGTATTGACTCTGCAATATAAAATTTCATAAAAATCCATTCAGCCATTCTTGAGTTGTTAATTTCATGAAAATGTTTTCTAACCCTGCCTTCCTGCATAATTCTGATCTTCTATAAGAGTGCAAATGGCCTTTATATTCATTAATGCTCACATACAACATGGAGAAAGTAACTCAACATAATGCCAATAGATGGCAGAAACAGCTCCTTTACTTTTTTGTGATCATCTAGATATTGCACTGGAGAAATTGCTGAAATCACTGTTGCATTAGCCTTGACAGACTTTAAAATAAACAGGGCTCTCGTGACAGTGGAGGACTACAAATTAAACTTGAAAGCTACAGTCTGTCCCTTGCCTAAGCACCATGCCTTGAACTTATATAGGGGAATTTGAAGTAAGGCTCGCTTTCATGCTCCACTACTTTTCTCCTGGGGGAAGAGCATCCTGTATCCATTCAGTAGGAGGCTGGATGGGCCACACAGTCAAACACAGTAGTAGCAAAGAGAAAATTCTTTTGCCCTGCCAGGAATCAAATATAGTCATCCAGCCGCTAGGCAGTCAATTTACTGACTAATTTATTCTGACCTATGTATGTATTTACTTCCTTTCTCTTTCTGTTAGCAACAGTTATTAATGAATTTGAAATACTTCAGTAATGTAGGTGTCATAAACATCAAACCATAACTGAACTTCCAATAATTTGGGTACAATGTAAGAACTGCAGTGATCGTACAGTTCAGTAGTTTTATGCTTTTATAAATACTGAAATTCTTATGTAATTTATTTTAAGCATTTGTTAATATTTAAAGTTAAATAAAAACTCAATGGCACAGTCATGTACAACCAGTGCAGCTGAGTTGACTCTAAACCCATTAATCAGTCAAGAAATATATGTATTTCCAGTTTTGTATTCTTGGTCAGATGCTGTTACAGCACTTAAATCAAGGAATATTAGGTAGATGTAACATACAGCACATGAGGTAAGTGAAAAACCTTTACAAATTGTTGGATGGAAAGCCTCGTGGATAGAGAATACTTGCGAGATCTAGGCACATGAGAGGATATTAAAATGGATCTTACCAACAATATACTGTACAGTATGTACTAATGGTATTTGGAGACCTAATTTCCTGAATTGTATCTGATGTCTGTGCTCCCACATGAACAATGTAATGATTCTTTAATCAGGGAATGAAGAATACCTAATTCTATTTTGAAATTTTGAACCAGTGGATTACAAAACACTGTCTTCCCAAACATTTGGTTAGTTTCTCGTGCATGGTGATTTTCAAGTTTTATCAAGTTTCATTACGATTTTGTGTTTTCGTTTATTTTCTGCATACTCTGTATAAAAGTAGTAACCTTTTTTTTTACACAGCTAATGACTGACACTGCCTGTGCCATTCTGATGTGTAATCTATGTCTTGTACATAGCATAGACCACATAATTTAAATGGACTGATGTTCTTTAAATATTCCTTATGTTTTATAAATAAAGTAATCTTGGAACAGTTATTGCTGAAGAAGGCTCTGAAAATATATATGCATCTCATACAGTCATGAAACAGCTTGTTATTATAAGTGATTTTAAATTACAACATTGTAAACAAAGTGTTTGTGAAAATATCTGGACCCAAGAGAGATGATGTGGGATATTTAGGATATCACATAAGAGGAAACAGTTCAGATGTGGAAGGACACAAAATTCTGATGAGGAAACCTGTTTGAAAATTGCCACTTGAAAGACAAATGTGGTGGGATGACAACATTAAAATAAATCTTCGGTAAACAGAATGTAAGGCTGTGAGGTGAATGGAAATGGTCCAGAATTATATCCACTGGCAGCTTTTGATAGTAGCAGCACTAAATCTTTTGGTTTTAGTACCAGAGTTAATTAAATAAGTAGAAAGATCTTTTCCCTCTGTAATGTTTAAATGCACCATTCATACAGTACTGTACAGTTTTGCTACATGAGAATTATAGATGGTAGTCTTCTGGCTGCATACTAATGCTTCAGAGGAGCATATTCCCTATAAGAATGGTAAATTAACATTGGAAGAGTGGGCTGATCTGTTATAACCTGAGTCAAGAAGCACAATCACCATATCTGACTCTACTACTTGTGTAAGTAAGCCATGGCAGAATACTGCATAAACATGGGCTACTATGTCTTGCTAAATCATACCTGTATCCTGGACATGAAATCCTCCTGTCTCACCCCTTCTACTCCATAGTGATTATGCTTTTTTGTGCAATTATTTTTGCAGTAATACTATAGTTGACTATAAATTACTGCCATTACTATGTAATTTATATTTGTATTGGAAACAAGTATTATATTTGTACTGTGAGATATTCTACATCCTTGGTTTGGGTCTATGAAGGATCTAGACTGTAAATAAATTCTATTCTGTTATTTATGCAAATAACACAAAAACATGCTTTGGTGATTAGAGGTTTGTTCTATTGAAGAATACTTCAAAGTGCAATACCACAAATGTTGCTGATAATTCACAGATTCTTCGAGTGCCTTCTCCGCTAGCGAAGGTTGGCGATCACATCACTAAACTTTTCACGATCCTGTGCGAGATGGAACAAGGCAGCTTGAAACCATAACATACTCCAAACGCAAGAGTATTACAATTAAATTAGTTTTTCATCTCAAGATGAGAAAGTATTAAAATTAATTAGTTCATCATGTCGTATATAAGTTAATTCGGAAATATTCTTAGATCCACCGAAACCTTTCAAACTGACATTTTTTACTTCCTTAGCGACTGTTATACATTAATATACAAGATTCTTATGCGAGTGTATCCGAAATCATCCAATTTATATTAATCGCCTGGATTTTAATCATTCCTGTTAAAACTAAATTATGAGCTTCCAAAACAAATCATTAAACGTATTAATCATAAATTTGTAACTCTGGGATCATACACAAAGTATAAAATAATAACGAACACTATTAAAGATAAACTTTAACATACACATAACATTCTACGATTTGAAACCCATATACCGTAAAGTGTTGCCACGTTGAGGCGGATTTTGAAATATATAATTTCCCCCATTTCGCAATTGACAATCTAAATGTACCACTGTAACCATCTCTAAATAATGTTCCCAGTAACACAGTACATGGTTCACATCTAGTAGACAAGTTTATGCAAACGTCGAAATTTATATGCTCACATTTTGAATTAATTTAATAGTCTTCAATAAATATTATTATGAAGACATCTGCGATGGAGCATGCATTGTTAAGATATTAGAAAAAAGAAAGTAATACCCATATAACTTAGTCAGGAAATTAGGTCCATAAGTTTTCGGCTGTTAGACAGCAACTTATAATTTTACATCATAGCTGTTTTCGTAATTTTTCACAAGCGGGTGCCATACAAAAACATATTTTTCTTTCCTTGATTTCCCTGCTGAAAATTTCAGACATAAATTTTCCCATTTCAAAATTTTACAAACATTAATGTTAGTATTAGTTTGAAGAACGGAAAATTCAGTATACGACAGAAATTGATTTTTAAATTCTTAACAATATCCTTGCAGAATAATTCGAATTTAGAAAATATCTCGTAATTGAAAAAAGAGTTGTACACATTTGCAAATGAAATCCATTGTGCCCTTAATAAAAACACGTATATGGGTTATTTTGTGGCCTTGTTAAAGCATCTGCTTCTCTGAATCATGGTATGCTACTATCGAAAGTAAATTTTTATGGAAATAAAGATGGGCAGTGATTTAAATAATACCTTAATGACAGAAAAAAAGGGTACAACTTAAAGCTCGAAACTCAAATAATAACACAAATTGGGACATGGAAGATCACAACTTTCCTGAAAGTCCAATACATGTCTTGGTTTATCATATCCTTCGTGAACAGATTAATAATAATTTACAATGTATAGATATGAAATTTAGTGCATTGCATTTCCTGCCACCTGGTGGTACAGTTATAAGCAAGGACTTACGAAGTGTGTGGATATACCATCGATATAAACGTTTATCGTTCTGGCGAGTGATAACTTTCGATCACGTTTCGATATTATATTCACGCGGATTAAGATTTGTGGTCGGTACCATTCATTATTGAGAAGAGTTTGTCACGTGCAATTGTATGTATACATGTATGTGTTTGCAAAAGAATTAGAAATATGAATGCTGGGCCTTCACTTGTAAGTAGCACAAAACGTGGGTTTAAGAATTTCAGTTTACTCATACATTGTAATTAAACGCATACAATGAAGTTTTGTGTTTCAGGAACAGCCAGATCTTCAGACTTTTAGAACAGTTTTTCATTACTGTATTGTTATAATTGTGATGCCGATTGCTTCATTTTTCGGAGCCAAGAGTGTAATCTTCGATGGTAAGATGGCAATTTAAGAACTTTAAAATAAATTCACAAATTAAATATCCATTCCGAAACAACGGTATGAATCTCAAATTGAGGTTATGCTGTATAACTTCAGCAGTTTAAACAGCATATTAAATATAATAGTCGGTTTAATTATGTGGGAGGTATAGTAGGTTTGTGTTAGAAGACGTAGGCAGACTTGTAATTCAACAATTTTAACACAAACCAACTACTAGATATGGGTAAATAGAAATGGCTTATATGGGCTTTTGGTCTTCAATCACGAATTACACAGAAGTGTGTGGTTTTGGGAATAAATTAGTATGTGGAGGTATGTTATTTTTATCAATTTGACTGTCAAATTGAAAGAATTTTTTTGAGGTTGAACTACCCATAGGTTGTGATATTCATGAGAGTTATGGTATGTAGAGCACTTATAAGGCAAGATTTTGATTAAAAATTTAATTATGTTGTGTATAACTTTGTTTTGTATTTTGTATTAACAGGTGTGCTAGGGCTTACACACGTACAAAGCAACGTGTATTCAGCCATAGTAACTGTTGTTGTTCTTCACATTATATTGGGATTCTACATCCACCGAGCCTTTTCAACAGACACATCACAGAAACCAGCAAAACAAGATTAAACTGTAGGAACAGCCTCCTAAAGAAGAATAGTAATATTATACAGATTGTAGCACTTAAAACAATATTTTATGAAAAGGTACATACAGAATGCTTTACTGTGGTTGAGTTTGAAATGTAATGCATAGTTAAAAATAAGTTTGGAGATAGAGGGGAATATAATACTGATTTACAAGACTTCCCAAATTTATTACTAAAGATACAGTTCAAAAACCTTGGTCGCTTCTAAATGTTGTCTTCTCTTTTCTCTATATGTATGCCACTTGAGTTCCAAATTTCTGAAACACTTTAGGATCTCTTTTTTTTAGTGACAACATTAGTAAATTGCCGACCCTATTGCAATTTATAATTCTTATCTTTGTGAATCACCAGATGTAAGGTGAGTGAGATGAGAGTAGGAGCTCCTGCACTTCTTTTCTAGTGAAAGAGTAGTTTTTGGGAGGGTCTGCGATGATAAAAATCTGTAGCACAAATTCCTTCGGAGGGGAAGTAAAGCCGGTGGTCCCATGTTGTAGATTTACGGCATGTAAAAGAACCTTGCGAGCATGATACAAGATATTTCGTAAGCAAAATACAGCAGCCATTTCTCACCCAAGTCTCTCCTGATTCACTGCTTCATTGCTAGATGGCTTTGGCAGTCAAAATCAGGAGTGAGTAGAATTTGTGCAGAGTCAGTGGGCTGGTCACTCATTACTCTTAAATGCACGCTTTAAAGACTATGAAACCTCCGAAAGGAGGCCCTATGCTGCACTTACAAGTTACAGGAACTATCTATCTATTGTAAGGGGTTGTTGAAATGGTCATGGTGGTGCAGAGATGGGATGCTACAAGTATGTTTGGTCTTTTTCGAACATCACTGTCAAGTCAATTTTGTTACATTGTGCTGTGTGTCAGCTGAACATTTTTGTTAACAGTTTTATATCCTAAGTAAGGTGGCTGAAAATTATAGGAAAATTGTACAGATGCTTGAGTGCTTTAAAATTTGAATTGGCAACAGAATTTGCCAAAAAGTATGGGGTAGGGATTGAGTGATCGCTTCCATGAAACTGCTGCTGGGCTGACCTTCTCAACTCTCTTTCTGATGAAAATGACAACATAATAGGATTAGTGGGGGGGATGTGTTGGATGCAACAAAAATGGCATATCTTGGACATGGTCTTCTGTGAATCCAGAGACACTGGTTCGATCATGGAGGAATCTAGATTTTTCCTAACAAAGAACAAAGTCCAAAGTTACTGACATGGTGTACGATGAGAAATTTTGAAAACATCAACAAAAAAATGTTAAAGAGTGGTCAGAGAATGATGTGTATTAAGTAAGCTTCCAGCACTGGACAGACACTGTCAATACTGCAAAGCAATAGGGAGAATGAGACTGAGATAAGTGAAGCAATCTGTGAAGTTCTGTGAGTGCAACAAACAAAATATTTTGGATTGTCCATGACTTTTGATTATTCATGTGTCTTATCCCCTTCATTAGCCCAGATGGTTGGGAGTTTGCTGTAGTGAGGTTCGCCTGTGTTTCATGTGTTACAGTACTCCATGTATTATGAATAAATTTTGCATCTATAAGAACTCCTTTAAAGTTATTCAGTCAATTTCTTATTTGTGTTGCACTTTAGATGGATGAAGACTACAGCAAAGGTCAGAGGTTGTTCATAGAGACAGTAACTGGGACAGTGGAAGGTGTTTTCCACTCTAAGGATCCTGGCCACAACAAACTGACCCTGAATAAAGTCATTCTCCATCCATCAGGAAGGAAGATACAAGGGTTATATCACTACTACAGAAATGAAATTATCAGTGGTAAGTTACCTGTATATGGACAGTACGCATATAGTTGAATCTCTCTAATTTTCTTCAGCTGCTATACATAAAATTTCAGGGCAAATATAGAGTGAGTCAGAAGTATGTTTACAAACTTTGTGTGCATATTCCTGGATCAAAAATAAGAAAAAAATGTTCCTATGAACATGCGGTTGCAAATGCTTATTTTTCAAAATAATGCCCAAAAATAAGTTTCAATGTATGCCTTTATTGCTAAGTATAAGAACAGGAATGTTTCTTTGTAACAGATGCTCAAAGGTTGCTCCTCCATTCTCCACACATGCTCGAGCACGATGTACACAAGACTGACGGATTCATTTGTACACTCCAGGGTTTCCTCGAATCATCTGGCATGCATTATGCACACGTTCCCATACGTCGTCTTCATTGTTTATGGGTGTTGCATAAAAGACGGACTTCAAGTGACAGATAAAAGTCCAATGGAGTCAGGTCTGGTGACCTAGGTGGCCATGCTATTGGACCACCACGTCATTCCATCGCTTAGGGTACTGATCGTTGAGATGATCTCTGACGTGGCGGGAGAAATGTTCTGGGGCTCTGTTGTGCATAAACCACATTTATCTTCTTGTATTCAGTGGTACATCTTCAAGGAGATGTGGCAAGTGTCTTCATAAGACTCATCAATATGAAGGTCCTCTTAGACATGATGGAAGCATGTGTGGACCAATAAGTGTATCGCCAACAATTCCGGCACACACTTTAACAAAAAATCTTTGCTCGAAGCTGGATTCACTTTGACATAAAGTCATTCATTGAAACTTATTTTTGGCTATTATTTCCAAAATGAAACATTTGCGACCCCATGTTCATAGGAACTTTTTTCTTATTTTTGATCCTGGAACACACACACGAAGTTTGTAAACATACTTCTGACTCATCCTGTATAATATACCACCCTAATTTTTTTTACAGAGTTTAACTAATTTGTGGTTGTATTCTCTTTGAATTTTCTGCCTATAAAATAAAATGTTAAGTCATCCACATTAGCCACTTTCAGTGAAATGTGGAAAGGGTTACGACTTTGTTGGAAACTTAAGCTATTGTTTCAGTTCGTGTATTGGAACCAGGTTCGTATCCAGGGGTTAACAAAGAGAATGAGGCTGCTGGCAATTGGAACTTGATGCGGAAGGTTCAACCACCAGTGCATGCCGACAAGGTTCCCGGGAAAGTAACCAGCTCTGATGTTGTTATGAACAGCAGACCAGGATATGGCCATAGTAGAAAAGCTGCTATGAGTAAGTTTCTGTTAAAGTGCATGCCAAATAATCACTGACATAAACAGAAAAACTGAACCACTGATGATATAGTATCAGCATGACTTACTCATTTACATTGTTGCCAAATTTATAGAAGCATTTAGATACAATTCAGTCTCACGAGAACCAAGAGGTATCACCCATCAGGCTATTATGGAGTACCGTTCCTGTAATTACAAAACAATCCTGCTACTTTATAGATGGATGTAAAAAACAAAAATTTGTGAATTCTGAATATTTTTTCTGCCTGAGAGTAAGTACAGTTTGACCCCTAGCCTGATATAAACAATGTTGACTGCCGTGCATTAATGTGGTATGTCTGATGTGAAAAAAACATGAAGTATGTTCTTGATTAACTGGTATGAGGAGAAAGGAGATATGAATCATCCAAGAGTACTTAAATTTTATGATGTGTATCTGTACTGTGTACAATGATATTACTCAAATACAGTTTGCTTCATTAATCCTTTTTAAGGAGAGCCATTTAAAGAACCTAAAAGAATTCCCAATGTGAATTTCTTTCCTCTTACAATAGTATCCCATCACTAATGCTACTTCTGGAAATGTAACAAAGGCGGGAACAAATAGAATTTAGTATAAACAGTTCCCAATAGAAGTCAGAAGCTTACAGTTCTTAGCATAGTATGTGCATCCTTACAAGGTAACAAAGTGAAAAAACAAGGATGTTCATTTCACATACATGTGGTGTTTCAGATAGAAGAAAATTAAGTGCAGAAGAATATGATACAATGAATAAATTAGTCCAGAATCATGTGTTGATTGATCGCATGGGAGATGTCTTTAAAAAAGCTGTGAGTACTGTTATAATCTGAACTGAATTTATTTTATGGGAGAAAAGAAGAACTTCTTAAACCTTATTAAGTACTTTTGTAACCCTCTGCCTGTCCATACACATACATATAACATTTTCAGAAGAGATAAACCAATTTTGATGAAATATGATAGTGTTATGAAAAATTAAAGCCATTTCAGGTTTCATTTAAATTGGACACTTTTATTTAACACTTTACATAACAGCATCTATACTTTTCTGAGAATTTATTGTAACATGACTGTGAATAGCATTTACCTTCTTTACTATTGTTACCTGGGGAGGGCAATCCTCTATATTTCTCAACCAGACATCCTACCCAGGTAGAGATGTGATGTCACTGGCACTTTTTGCGAAGGCCAAGGGTAAAATTCTGGCAGACATGCTAGAATTGTTTTGCTGTGTGCACAGCTTACATTTTCTCCTTTCAACACCATCTCCTCTTTACACACCTGCCACCTGTATATCAGCTTTGGAAATATTTACTCTTAGTGGTATAATCCCCCATTGGTAACTTACTGTTCTTGATTGTTATTTAATCTCTCAGAGTGAATTCTCCATCTTTGGAAACAGGCAGAAATCCTAATGGGGTGAGTCAGATGGATGCCCAAGTACCTCAGTACTTTTCCTGTGAAAAATAAAGTTAATTGAAGAAAGCATAAATCAACTTCTTGAATGCAATTGAGAGTGGAGGCAAATTCAAATTTTCATTACAACAATAAAATGCATAAGAGGTAGTGTTACAGATTTTCCAACTTCTAGCAGGAAAATGTATCAGCAAGTTGTAGATTCGGAATGTGACCTGTATATGTCACATTTGTGTGTTATAAAAACCATACTAACAGTTTACGGGTCCATTGGAATTTTATGATATATTCACCGTCATTGATCTCATTTGCCCCAGAAGTGTGCACATGCTTTTCTAGTGTTCTTATGACAGCAGTGTTGCAGTTCATAGCAGAATGGTCATTTGAAGCACTTTCCTGATTGTATGCTTTACAAAAGTAGCATTAGCCATTCTCAGAACACAATCTGCTTCATCAAGATAGCATAGAAAAACTAAAACAATCTTTTGGAGAGTACTGGACTAGTCACGTGTGTTATGAGAAAAAATATGGCAACAACTGGAGAAGCAGCTGGCAAGCAGCACTCTGGTAAATTAAAAGTGCAGTTTATTCTGAATGTTAGATACACAATCATGGCTGATGGCTGAAAGTTTTAAACTAGCACTTAAAACATCTGGCATTGATTGTGTTAACATTCATTGTAAGTTTGTAAAGTGACTTGTTAATTTGTTTACATTATGCAACAGGTGAGAGACATTAAGGCAGAGGCAACTGTCGGCCTGAGTGTGGAGGGAACCATGTTTGGGCGGTGCAGTAAGCTTAGCCTTATAAGCATTGCCACTCCAAGCCATGCTTTCCTGTTTGATATATTCACTATTGGCGATGCAGCATTTGATAATGGACTTCGTGACATACTGGAAGCAAAAGATATTGAGAAAGTTATCCACAATTGTCGTCTTGTTTCCGATTGCTTGCACCACCAACATCATGTTACAATTTGTAGTATCTTTGATACACAAGTAAGTAGAATGGAGATACACTTGAAGATCACATTTGGCAAGTGATATAAAGTCTAACTCAGGTATTAAGTGCAAACATCCAAAACAAAACAAGAGTGAAGTGTACTACAACCAAGAACGCACATATTATATTTTACAGATGCACTATTTGCAGTTTTGTATACCTCACTGTCACTGGTCTTCTTCATTTGTTACACGTGTGAATATAACATTGCAAAGCTAATAACAGGACTGATATTACCCTGCATTGTCAGACATTTTTCTTTAAAGTTAAATATTTATCATATAAAATGTTTTGAAAAACAGTTTATCTCATTGAGGTCTGTATTTTATATAATTTTTTTGTGTTATTCAGTTTTGAGAAAATTAATAGTCTAGTTTGTTTACATGTAAAGTAGGGATTTTATTGTACCAGTACGAACCAAATTAAATTCAATGTACAACTGTAATTTTGGAAGTGAAACATATACATGAGCACACAAAACTTTTCCAGTCTGGTAGGATTAGTTATGCAGAGAAGGCTTCCACAGACATGCCATTGAATTAAAAGATTTAAAATGAATGCTTGGGAGCTGAGAATTTCCCAAAGTGATTCAGTCTGACTAATTTAGGTTGCTGACCTGATGGTGACACAGCAGCAATATGGACAATTCCCACGTACAGTTTGCAGTTTGCCACAATGCCTGACACAATACCTGCATCTTCCTAACAACCTTCTTTATTACCCGAAGATCCGTGAAGGATATATTTTGGTAAGTTATTAATTTAACTTTATAAAATTTTATAAAGAAATCCCCACTCTGTTATCCAGTTTATATAGACTTCGGAGGTGGAAACTCTTCTTGATATCAAAGAAAGAAATTGGTTCTACCTTGTGCAGAAAATTGGAGAAAGTAGATGCCCTATAAAATTTTGTTTGTAGCAAAAAATGAGACAAAATGAAGACCGTGTTAAAGAGGAAAAGATAAATTCCTTATGTCCCTGGAAGTAAGAATAAACTGTTTTGACAAATCAAAGCTAATATAGTATGGATGGAAATGCTGTTGCAGGACTTCTGACTGAGCCTCCAAGAATTCATATATGAGTGGACTCTCATTTAATTATTATTATATTGTTGGCAAAGCCTCCTACTAGCAGACACTTTGCATCACCACATCCACATAGCATGATGTATTTATTGTACAGAGATTTATGGTGCATTCACACTAGGAAATTATATTACAGTTCCCATTAGCTTCCTTATGTGCCTATCAACTTGTAACAACTCAGTAACCGCTGAACGAATTTTCAAGAAACTTGGTTTTGGGAAATTTTACACAAATTTGTTTATACACTCCACTTTTGGTTAAAATCAGACAAAAATTACTGGTACTTTACATGATGATCTGCACATGTAACTTTCCAAGTATTATCAAGTAAAACATATTCCAAGCAAAAGTTGTAGAGAAAAATAAAATATGAATTTTATGATGCACATACTTTCCCTGTCTTCCAGTTTTCAATGAACAGTCAACTGTGATGCCAGTGGTGTTTTTCTGTTTCTTTTCTTCACAAAGTCTTTATTATAATGGCACTGGATATTCTCTGTTTCCTGTATTCATAAAGACTTCATTATAATGGCAGTGGATATTCTATTAATTTGTGTTTCAATTAATGACACTATAAGAACCTCCAGTCTATATGTTTCAAATGATGAATGAATTTTAAATTATATGGAAGGAAGTGGTTGTGGTCTAATTTAAGTTATGGTACAATCTTGGCATTTGCATGGAGGGATTGAAGAAAACCATAAGAAACTTCAGTCAAGATAACCAGTCTCTAAGCTTAGATTTTAACTCAGGACCTACTAAATACAAGTGTGATGACCACTTGGCCACAATGTTCACAAAGACTTCACTATAATGACACTGGATTTTGTTCTGTAGGCTGTGTTCGTGAAGACTTCATTATAATTTCAATGTAAATTCTTCTGTTTGCTATATTCACAAATGTTTAATTATGATGACATTGCATATTACTATGTTCTGTTTATAGCTGGATTCACTACAATGGAACAAACGACCTCTTCCTATTGAACTTATATCAGCTGCTGTGAAAAATTCTGTTTTCCTGGTTCAGCTCCGTAATAAAATGTGTGACGAGATGATGAAGCCATTCCGTCAATGTGTTAATGTGTTCCTTAGTGTAGTAAGGGATGCAGACCCGCAGGAAGCTAGTGAACACCAGGTACAAAACCCATTTAAACTTACAACTTTTATTTCTTAACCTTAACAGCTTCATTAAGCTCCATGCACACAGTATTGTGGAAACAGGAGGAGCAAAACTTATTTTTTCTTAGTAACAAAATATTCTTCTAGTTATTCTAAATTTAATACACGTTCTGTTCTGAAATGACGCAGCTGGTCACCCAAGAGGATTTTATCCTTTTTACATTTAATTATCACTATTGACTGAAGTGCATTCTGGTGATAATGGCAACTTAATCCATAAATATGAAGAAAAGTCTCGTTATTAGTCACAGCAAAATAATCTAAGTCTGTATAAAATGATAAGTAAATTTTGATACCCAAATCAGCTATTACTTCTGCAATATATGCATCACATCAGTTTCCATTAACAAACCATCTTGCCACAATATAGTTGTTTTGTAAACCAGCCATTATTTAGGGGCCATCTAGTCTTCTATCCAGTGAGTACAAAGGGCTTTTCCCCCTTTGGATGCAGCTTCCAGAGTGAAAAATCTGACCACTCACCTCCATCTAATGCTGTCCCCAGTCCTATGTACATTCACATTGTAGTGTTTGGACAGAGGGGCAGTGTTTTTTTTTAAATTCCTAACCATGATTTTATTCAAATTTAGTTTTTACATTATGTTTTAAATAAGTTACTTTGACATAATACAATTAAAGTTCATGCTTTTATCTTCAGGCCAGCGATGCACTGGTCCCCTTGGAGTTATTGGCCCTAAATGATCAACCAAGAAAGGCTGTTGAAGACCAAAAGACACCGCAAGACTCTGTGTCTGATCAAGCCGCTAGTTAAATGAAAAAATGTTTATACAATGAAGAATAATAAATTTGGGTGGAGGGAAGTGAACTGTAAATCACAGAAGTGAATAAATTAATGTGGCTTTGCATAACATGTCATACAGAAGTTTAAGTTTGTTTTCAGATTTTTTCCATAAGACAGTGATGCTCTGAACTTGGTCTTTGTCATTCATTAGGTGCATTGGTATCAGTAATTCCTAGCATTGCAATTATATAGATTTCTACTTCAAATAACTGCAATTGAGCAACAATTTTGATAAGTTCATAAGGGCTCCATAATCTTTACTGGCCATGTCACAGCAGTGTACTGCCAAACCATTAAACCCTAGATGTTAAGTCTAGCCAACAGCACAGGAGTTCAGAGGTTTAAATTCCATGTCCCTGTACAATAAAGGTCAGTGCTGATATTATGGTATGTGAAGAGGCTGAAAGTCTAGTTCACACAACTGAATTTGTATGAAAAAAGATATCCACAGATAATCTGGAGTTCACTATAGTTACATTGAAATTGTTTTTGTCAAAGTCATAAGACCATTTATATGAAACTGAATGATACAGTGAAATTAAGACTTCATTCATGTGAAACAAGAAGTGGTTTTGAGATCTGCTTGTGACAGCCATTAATTCTGTATCTATTCATTAATCAATTACAACTGATAAATTCCATTGGAGCAGTGGGACAAATGACCTTTTAATGTTTCCTCGTGTAACTACTTCTCTATATTCTGTTATATAAAACACATTTTTATGTTTAGCTGTGCTCACAAAGACTTGGAAGTTTTCAGTTCCAGATGGCAAAAATGTTCTATTTTACAAGTGCTGATACCATTAAGCAGCTTTTAAAAGTAGTTTCTAACCTGAGTGACAGAAATGTTGGTGTAATGTACATACCATGAATGATATTTTCAATTGTTCTAAGTTGATTGGGATGAGAGATAAATATAGAATGAGATAAAGGAGATGATATATGTATACAATGAGCAGTTTATCTGGTTTATAAACTACATGAGAAGTTACCAAATCCTTATTCAAAGTTCCTTCACAAAATGGCCCAGTAAACTGCTATATAATATGTCCCTCCATGGTCATACCTCTGTCAATTTTATTAATTTTGTTTTGCAATTTCATATGCACACTTGAGTAAAAATTGGATTACTATATTTATGTTAACACTACTATCATTTTATCTAATTTCTTTGTTATGTAAGCCTTCAAACAAGTCTCCATAGTTAATGTTCATAAGACGTAATTTTATATGTATGATTTGTGGGAAGCTGATGTTCCCCAATAAATTCCTAAAGATAATGTATTTGTTATTTAATTCTGTTTGTACCAATATCTTGCTGATAGACATATTCTATCACAATGGTGAAAAACACAAGGACTGATAAAGCGGTTCCTGTGTCTAAGCACATCACATGGAGTCATGGTATATTAGGCCTAGGCATATGATCAGGATCTTACTTTGATAACTTTACTCCTGGGGAAAAAGCCCTTGGCTCACTGGATAGAAAGCTGTGTGGAGCCCACAACCAGTTTAGACACAGTGGTGGCAAAGACAAAAGTTCCTGCCTCGACTGAGAATCAGACAATGGATATCCATCTCAGTGGGGCCTATTGTAATAAAACACAATCTTGAAATGTGTACAGTGACATCTTAGCAAAACACTAAATGTTTTTTAAATGGAAGACAACAGCATAGCACCTATTCTGTATATGATGGTAATAACTGAACTGTCATACGTGTATATATTTAAGTATTGGTTTCTTACCAAAACTGACATCTCCTGATTCTGTCACAATTGTACTGCATCCTAGATTCATGTCATCCATCAAACTTGATCATTTTCCCTTTCTTCTTCCTGGTGGCATCTGCTCCAACAGAAGGATGGAATACAGTATCAGAATAACATATAAAATGAGTGAAACTAATGTACAATGGTTGTACAAATTATGCAAAAATAAAATTAAGATCAGAATGGTTTGAAATAAGTAGTGAAGTGAGACAAGTGTCCTCTTACCAGTAGTGTTTAATGCCATGATGAATGAAACTGCTAATATAGCCAGAGGAGAACAGAAGACGCAAATACAGTACTTTCAGATGATATATTTGAGGGAAAGGTGAAAAGTACCAAATTAATAGAACCCTTTTTATAAAGGAATACAGACTGAGAATGAACAAAATGGTGATTATGAGTACAATCAAGACTATAAACTTACGTATTTTTGAGTGCAGAGTCCTACCACATGCATGAATTAGTTCTGCTGGAATTGAGACAATACCTGAAGATTTATAACGTTTTTATTTCCCAATGACAACTTCAAATTCATTAAGGCTTGGTTCTGAGATGAAGGGCCCTACTGTATGTACTTCAGGCTCATTAAATTGATCGGCTACGTGAACGTTTAGTAACTTACTAAAGTAATCTTTCCATCTGTCTACAATGCCATGTGAGTCCGCGACCAGATCCCCATTCTCGTCCTTGATCAAATGTGTACTAGATTTGTACACCTTCTAAAATTTACTTATGCCTCTATACAACTTATCTGATGTTTTTATTTTTGCTGTCAGTTTCCAGCCCTCCTATCTGATCTTTGAGATACCCCCTCTTCTTTTTCCTGAAAGTACTGCTGGTTTCATGCCTTACACTGACGTATCTTCCCTTGCAATCTAACCTGCTTCCTCTGTCTTGCCAAAATAGAGCATTCTTCAACAAACCATGCTTTATTTCGAAACATTTTATGATACTCTACATTCTCCTCAGCTGAAATTTTCATGTTATCCCATATATTTTCCCAAGCCCAACAGTAGCCTGACATCGACTGAAAGTAATTTGTACTTCCTAAATTTGCGCCCCATGCACTATAAAGAGGAATGAAACAAACGTGAATTATAGAACGATTACTGCTTCATGTAGTGTTGAACGAGCCCAATTATCGATTGCTACTAATCGAAATACAAAGAATATATCGAACATACATATAGACTTTCCCAGAATACAATCTCGATATGAAATGGAAAAGTACAGGTTGATTCAAGGGAATAGTCGGATGTGAATCAGTAAATAGTTACTTACTGTGAATTACATTTCATAGTATAAGTAAACAATTATATGTCAAAATGTCTCTGTAAAATTTATGTATATGAGCTATGAGCAGTTTACGTTAGAAGATAGTTTTCTACAAAATATAATCTTTCAACTCATTTCCAGATTTCTCCTTCGTACCGCATGTATTCGAAAATAATGCCACACTTCTTAAACTGGCAGTAAAACGAACAGTTTTGTCGCATTGCAATATTTAGTTTGCAATTCTCTATTTGTGTCGGAAATTGCGGTATTTGATGAGTTCGTAGTAAAATATTAATTTTCTTTAAACGCATCTTCTATGTATCTATATGTATTATAACAATAATAAAGACGATTAATTTAAATGTTAGTAAACATTAGATTGATACAAAATGTCAACGGCTTGCCGGTATGAAATTTGCACAAACGGGATAAGTGTACAGGATGTGGGAATTCAGTCTGAAGTATATCGATCGTGTCATAGCTCATCCAATGGTTATTATGGATATTTACCAGTAAAGCCATATGCAGAAGATTACGCAATGGATACAAGTGATGTGGGTGCAGAAAATAGCATTGGAAATGGAACAGATCCAAAGAATGGCCCTTGTATTAATTCACTCACAAATATCCAAAATGGAAATGTTCTATCTGTGGGAATATCAATAGGTAGACGGAAACGTATTAATGAAGAAGTTCATTTCACAGGGAAGCCTAAGAGGCAGCGACAGGAAGGTAATTCAATGCAGTTTCTGACAAATTGTGGATTACAAGTCAGTTTATATTAAGAATTTTACTTGCAGTGATGTGTTATCCTTAGGAGCCTGGAAAAAAGGAGCAAATCATTTTAGACATTGAATAAACTATAGTTTTATACGAAGGTGTTACTTTTCAGAATTTTGTGGCCTAACCCCATGCCAAGTAATGGTGCTTCCGACAACTCGCAGCTTTGATGCTCACTATCCACGGTGCATCATGGGTCACTACGTGTAAAACGCAATATATAGCTAACAGGGAATTATGGTTATAAATATTAAATATCATATGACCATTTTCAAGTACTTACTGTAAGAGCTTTTATTTATTCTCTAGAACAAGAGTCTCTGAATGAAAAAAACAGTGAAAGCAGCCTGCAGTTCATCATCGAAGGATGTGATTTGGATTTGGTGGAGAATTTGCTGAAAGAAACACATGGCTGTGATCTGTACCACTATGATGCATGTGATCTTTAGTATGAACTAAGGACTATAATTATGAAATATATACCCTTTGTCAGTGTGGAATGGTTTTTACTAATATTTAAAATATCACCTTTGTGCTAGAATTAAAAAAGCAGGCTTATACCTAAACATGTATGACTTTGAATTAACATAAAGTTACCACATTAAACAAAAAGGCATTTATATTATTCTGTTGTCTTGTATGGTTGTGAAACATGGTCTCTTGCCTTGAAGGATGAACGTAAATTACAAGTGTTTGAAAACAAGGTGCTCAGGAAGATATTTGGACCTAGGAAGGATGAAATAAGTGGGGAATGTAGAATATTGCATAACAAGGAGCTGCGTGAATTGTACAGGTCATCTAACATAGTGAGGGTAGTGAAGTCTAGGAGGCTCTGATGGGCTGGGCAAGGGATGCATACCAAATTTTGGTATGGGATCCTTCTGGAAAACTACCACTTGGCAGACCAAGAAGGAGATGGGAGGATAATATCAAGATGGATCTTAAGAAAGTGTGCTGTGAGGATGGTAAATGGATGGAGTTGGCTCAGGATTGTGGCTGGTGGTGGGCTTTGGTGTTGGTATTGGACCTGCAGGTTCTGCTACCAGGGAGTTGGGTAGTTAACTTGAACAGAATATAATTCTAAAATGCTCCAAATTAGGGCTAGGTGAACCCACCATGCAATTTTGGTTAGCAGTAAAGCACAAGACTCATTTACAAGGTATGTGGTTTGAGTCATTGCTATAGCTATGGTTATTTATATTTTTAAGCTTTTGCTGGGACAATATCTTAAAATACATGACCACTCTCAACATACAGAAATATTCTACAATCTCTCTCATGCTATATAAATCCAGTAGTTGATAGAGCATTGTATGGGGCTTGATAAATTGCGGGGGATACTTAGAAGAGCTCTGGATCTAAAAGTCAAGGGCAAAATACCCTAAGAATGACCCACATCAAGATGGCTTACACAAATATGGAAAAATGTAACATGACATATGTGAAGGCCTCTCATCCATTCACCCATTTCATAGCAGAAAACACCACCATAATAATAAGAGTTTCAGTTGGTCTTCCAGACCAGTTACACCTTGAAAATGGTAAAAAAACACAATTTAGAAACTTTGTAAAATTAAGATACCAAACCAAACCAAACATAATGGAAATTGCAGGACTGTATTTAAAAATAAATATTTTACCAAATGGCAATTATTTTATTGTCATGAAAAGTTTGAAAGAAAACACTGAACTGTTACATAGCTATTATTTCTAGTGGACACTGCTTAATATTGCACCTGTTTGCTGCATTTTTTAAATAATACATGTTTCTGATTTATATTTTCCACAATCAACCTCTTTCTTTGTTTAAAAGCAAGATAAAATTTATGAAACCTTACAGTACCAATCAGTGAATTACAATGTCATTTTCCATTTTAATTTCAAAAATGGAAAGAATCATTGTTCTAATCTGTAATAACATATCTGCCTCTAGTACGTGTTTACTTATCCAATAACAGAAGAAAGGACACTTCAGTAGAAACTATGTTATTCCATTTGAAGTCCTACTGGGGTCACATTAATTGTACAGCGCACTAGAGCCAGCAACATCTTCATAAGCATCATGGACTGGGAGCATCTGAAAAATGTAAAATATGTTTTTATGACCATATTTTTTAATATGGCTTGGATATCTTTGATGTGAAATCCATTCACAGAATGGACTTATGTCCAAGTTTCTTAATGATGTGTTATTTTGTGTCAGTATAGGCTCTGGTGGGCTGATCCCCATACAAGGAGCCATAAAGTCTAAAGAATTTTCAGAATCATTTCAGAGGTCAGAGGGTTTAAAGGGTGATAGATGAAAAATAATTTCTAATCCTACCATGTGATCATTGTTTTACAATTAAAATGATTCTTCGATTATTTAACATTTTGGTTACACATGGTTTAATGGTAAGCCGATTGTAGATGATGGTTTTAAAAGGCTAGAAAGAACCACAATCTTGACTTTTGCCTGAATAATGCAGGAAAACCACAGAAAATCTCATACTTGGAGGATAATATTAAAATTAATCTTATGGAAATGTGGTGTGAAGGCACTGAATTGGAACTACTCAAGCAAGATCCTGTATCATGGAGTTAAGTTATTTAACAGGCATATTGACATACCTGGCTGATTTGCTGGACGTGGCACCAAACTATGACTGTCCTGTTCTGGGGTACTGGTACCACTGCATGCTGCTGTTTGCTGCTGCTGATCAGTAGACAAGCGAGTTGGGACTCTGTCTAATCCTTGTTCCCTGTCCTGCTCCACTTCCCACTCTTCTTCCATCTGGTGGCAAAGCAACAAAATACAAGGAGACTAATTTGTTTATAACCAAGGTTTTGCTTTAGAATATGACAGACATAAGGGCCACAAATAAAGTGAATAGCTGATTGCAAGGCATGTTTATGACAGTCTCCATATAACATTTCACATGCCTAGCTTCAGTGGTATATTATTAATCACCATCAAACTGGAGGTAAATATACATTTTGGATAGCTATCATGAAGTTTTAAATTCTACAAAATAATTACTTTAACAACAGAAGCATGCTTTCAGAGTTCCATTACCTCACAAAAATATCAGGGTCCTGAATTAAGAGGCACTAATGCTGCTCCAACATCTGAGGTCCACATGTCCTCTGTGTTGACAATTTGAAGCCAAAAGTAATTTAAATTGCAATTAGAAATTCAGTCTGTCACAAAGACCATTACAAAGATCAACTGGTTAATGCTGTTTAAGGAAAAAATCCCTGTTTACAGTGACAATCATATTAACTCCATACATAGAAAATAAAGTTACTAATATCCGTACCAAGTGGGACGTTCAGTTATCACTGGATTTTAAAGAGTTAAGAAATATAAATATGAGATAACCAATAATGCATGATGTTCACTACCAGGTTTAAGAAAATCCATCAATCTGTTCAAAGTTACTGGGGAAAGGGAGGCAGATATGGATGGACAGACACATGGACATGACAACTGTAAGCCCATCTTTTTTCATTATAGGTTGTGTAGTAGATACAATGTCCATGCTTGGCCTTACCTCTTTCTTACTTAAATCTCCAGTTCCCTTATTAACAGTGACCAAGTCATCTGCTTGTAAGAAGTCATTCTGAAATCACACAGCATACAAAAAAATTAAACAAGTTATGGGATGCAGGAAAAATGGAGTTATAAATACACTATACATTCACAATATCTAACTGATTTTTGATCACACTGTTTCCAGTTATGGTCTTATCTAGTACTTTTCAATTGGTGGACCACCGAATGCTAGAATATATACACATATATTCTATTAAAGCAAAAAACTTGCTATTTTATAACCAGCAATTTTTATTACTTCCTCTTGGTGAGTACTCAGTGTCGAACATTATTTTCTGTCCATAGGTTTCACTATTAAAAATTACCCTTTTTCCATTATATATACAGATAAATTATTTCATATGCTGCCATGCATAATTTTTAATTGTGAATGTCCAACATGAGTGATTATAACATCTCTTTAATTTTAACACTGCAAAAAGGCATTAATTTTTATGAAAATATTTAGACACATTAGTAATCCAATCTGCTGATCATTATTTATACCATACAAACAGGTAGGGTACTGGTCCCCAAGAAAAGCGCTGCAGTTCTAACTGTTCATAATTCACAAAAGGTTGAGAACCACAAGTGGTTTTGAATTTTCTGACCTCTACTTGCTTCATAAATGGCGATGGAGTTCATTTCTGAGGCATAGGCACCTATGAGGCAGACACCACTATTCCTAAAGGTAAGATGACATATAGCTGGCTGGACCTAATACATATGTGGCTTTGAACCACAGTTGAGATCCAGTATTCCTTCTACTCATAGAGTTTTACCTCTGTCAGAGGTGAAGGCAGGGGAAAATATGCAAGTTACTCCTAAACTTAGCACCTCTGGCACAAAAGTCAAGACATTTATTTTTAGACGACCAGGTATCATCTAAATAATACTGGAATGCCACAATGCATCTCGAGTATTTCAGTTAATTCTTATAACAAATCTTACTCCAATTTGTAAGTTTTAGTTTTTAATAACAGTTTAGTCTTCCATGAAACCAACAATGATGCAAACTCTGGAACTGATTAGAAAAAAATGATGACATTGATAAAACAACACATCTTATTTCTGAACCATCAGATTATTTTGATAATCTTGTAACTACTTAAACAGTCAATAGATGCAAGAATCTACTGACATTCTTTATTAATTTCATAAAGTACTGCATAACAGAAATGTATAACATTTTTTTAAACATACAGAGGACAATGGCAAGGGTTGGATTCTGTACGGTTCTGACGACGGTATGATACAGTCGGGTTTATTAGGTTTTTGGACTTTGTCCATCGTCCAAGGTTAAAAAGTGTACGTTTTGAAAACAGGAGCCATACAGAGTAGGTGCCCCTGCCCCATATCCATGAAGACAAAAACAGACCCAGTTTTCAAAACGTCATACACATTTTAACCTCGGACATGGACAAGGTCCAAAAACTCAATCAACCCAAATGGCAACGGTGTTTCTCTTCACCACCATATCTCATTCTGTAGTACGTCTAATGCAAACAATTTCAGGCTCTTTCCTGAGGGGTAAAGGAATTTGAGCATGAAACTGACCACTCACCTCCACCTAGTACTGAAGTATATAATACAAAGTTTTAACTCCACATTCTCTATGTGCCTTCATGATGTGGTGTTTAGACACGGGCAAATTTTATATAACTACAGAGACTGCACTTTACCTCTGCTGCCTCTGCTGTGTTATTCACTATGCAGGAATCACTAGTAGCTGCCCCTTCAGGTTGGGTGCTCTGCCCCTCACTACAGACCCCTTCTGCAACAGACACAGCTGTAGCATTCTCCACTTCTAGTTCTGGTATGCCATCCACTGACTCTTCATGATGTGATTGGTCAGCCTCTGCAAGGTCACCATTATAAGATTTGGTAACCAATACAGCATCCTGAGTATCACGGTAACTCTGGAAAATGGTTAACAGAACATGAAAGTGGAAAAATATTAATATGTGTACAGAAATGTTAATAGTATAATATGGCACAAAATTCTGAGCAGAAAGTAACAAACAACTTTCACTTTTACAGTAATTTAAAATAAGATTAGTCACTCACCAACTCTATAAGTAGAACCTGAATGTTTACAACCACTAACACTGTCATTGGACACAATTCTGAACTAGTTCTATCCTAAAAATCTATTTCTCTGAGACCTAGCTTAATGCTATCTTCCCATTTCCTTCTTGATCTTATGAATAGCCACTTTACAACAGGTTTCCCCACAAGAATGCTATCACTATAGCAACCTGCTCAGTAATTATCAAATAACTTATTCCATGGTACATGAGCTTACTTGAGAAGCTAATAGCTGATCATTTGGTCAAGTAATGCCCTGGAGATTCATTATCTTGTTCATCAAAGTCTACCACTGGACTCTTATAACATGAATCAGATAAGCCCACTTCACACTCAGACCCAAGAATCTCAGATCCATTTTAATATCATCTACTTATGTACACCTGATTTTGTGTTCTCTTCCATTGATGATTTCAGACTAAAATTTTGTTTGCATTCATCATCTCTCCATGCATGTTTACTCACCCTAAGCAAATAGTACACATTATGAAGCTCTTAACTGTTTCTTGTTACTATCTGTGTATTAAGTACTTTAAAATAACATATCCTTTATATTACAAGCCGTAACCAACACACAGCATGGGAGTCCTTATCTTTAAAATCTGAAGCAATTGCCTTGTGGACTGTGTAACTACTGCTTTCCTACATGTGCATGTACAAGTATATGAAAGAAAATTAATATTGATGCAATCAAGTATTGTAAAAATAGTATTCATGCCTATTTAAATGGTGAATGTAGGCAGAGCAATATGTCATTTTAATACAAATGGGTTAAAATGGTAGCATATGGAGCTCAAAAATCTCCCTTTGCTGGGAACAGTCCACAAAAAACAATATGGAAAACATGTGATTAGAATAGGAAGAAACTTGGATGATTAATAGAAATTACTTCTGGCAAGAAAGTTCAGAAAAATCAAGGGAGAAAGAGTCTGGAACTTTACTTACATGACTGCCAATTTCTGAAGTCAAAAAATGTTGAGTGGATTCAGTTGGCTGGTGGATAGCTATGCTGCTTTCTGCATGTTCCCCTAGTTCGTGGTCTCTCATTACAGGATTCTTGCAGCATTCTTCATCCCCTTCCTGAGATCAGAACAGTGATGCCAACTTAAAAATAACAACCATATTCAACTGTTAGTACAGTTGACATAAAGATTTCTGAAGGAAGTGCAAGTACCTCTAGTATATGTAGCTACTTTTCTACTTACTACACTACACCTAGATAAATTGAAGTTTAGTCAAGACCACTCAAGCTTTGGTTTGGTGCAAGTCTTTTCATCTCCAGAACACCAAATAAAGTTTATGTTACAGCACCTGAATTAACTATTAATAATATTTTTATATCATTTGGTATACCTACACAATTCAAACAACATGAACAGCTAATAGAAGAATACCCCTTTACATCTTCCTTCAAAAGCCCAAACTAAAATATACAGTATGAACAATGTTTTTTTCTGTATGAATTGCATGTGGAATGTGGTTACAGTAGAAAGTGTCTGAGAAAATGTCATCATCCTAGGATCTCAGTTTCAAGCACAACAGGCATCCATAAACTAATTATGAAAGTCAGGTCTATTGGGTCACGTCTGGACAACAAACCTGCTAAAAATACCATGTGCTTAGTGAAGAAAATCCAGACAAAACAGGAGCTGTGTTAGAACACATGCCACGTATATCACTGTGATACCTTGCACAAGAGACCAGCATCTGAAAATTGTCAGCATCTAAAGTAACAAAGTGAATTTCAAGCTATTTAAATGATTTTGTGTGTGTACACGGACATATTTTCAGCACTTCTTAAGCTTATTTTACTGTTTTTATGAATGCAGTACTTGAGTCATACTGGGAATCTTGTAGCACTTGGTGGTGAGTGACGCAGTTCCTGCCAGGAGCCAGCAAGTAACAGCTGCATATAAGTATGTCAGCAAATGCAGTATGTAACAGAATGTTTGCTACTTGAATGGTGCATTTAAAGGATCTAAATAATCAAACTTTGTATGTTTTCATACAGAAAGATTGGCTTATGGTATCCTCTCCTCTGTCTGCTAGTTGCATGTTAATAACTTCACAACCATTAAACATGTGATGAAAATCATGACATTGTATCACTGAATGTTATATCTTTGTGAGACTTTAAATATGAAGAAGGGAAGTTAACCAATTCATTATAAACTGATGTTACATAACTTACATTGTTGTTGTCTCCTCTGCTGACAGTATCAACAAGACGAAGAAATGTCAGCTCACTCAGCAAGACTTCAGCAACCACAGTCAATAATTCTTCACTAATGTCACGGAGTCTGAAAACAATAAATCAATAAAAGTTTGTCTGTGTCTTCCACAGTAATACAGCCAAACATATCAGTGATGGAAACAAAGTCCTCAGGAAAAAACAAAGATAGGTAATTAAAGGAAATTTGATTGTAAGTTACACAAAATATTTAAAAAATACTTACATGTATATGACTTTTCTGCATAGTCAGTTTGTTTTTAAATGTATTTGGTTCAATATTGCACTAATTCCTGAACCCATCAGAATTAAATATTTTAGACCTAAAGACATTTTGGAACTGTTGTTCTCATTACTAAAACTCATTTCAGATACAAATTTCAGTATTCCTGCATATTGTCTGACCACAACAATTGGATTACAAATTATTTTCAATTTTAATCATCTTTCCTGCAATGCATCAGTAAATAACCATTTTAAATGTGCCACAGTAATGTCACTACTCAACAGACAATTAAAATAAAGGAGATTCATACTCTTCATTTCTGCAACATTGTTTAATGTTTTAATGTTGCACTGCAATCAAATATGAGGTAAACTCAAAATACCAATAATTTTTTACTTTCCTTTGTGTTTAGATCCAAGGTATATGGCATAAGTGGGGGTTTGGAAAGGACTTTATGATATTGCTTAAACTTAAATCACTGACTTTACATTGTGAGTTGAGAGGTCTTCGTTACAGACATGTAGGAAGTTCATACAGAAGCCATGAAACAAAAACATGACAGGATTCTAAGCCACTCGCACAAATACCTGCAGCCTTGGAACTTTAGAAGTGCATCTTCCAGCAGAGCATCAAGCTGTCCCTGGTAGCAGCACCCCAGATGGGAGGGCTGTGAGGAATACTGGGTAGGGCTAGAAATGAGGGACAGCTTCTGTGCTGGCACAAAATGCAGTGTAAGTCTTCGAACAGCTTCAAGGAGAGAGGAAGAACAAGTATCATCCAAGTGGGCCCTAAGGAAAGGCAGTAAGTTCACCAACACAGCCTGGACTTCTAGCTTGCTTGAACGGCCCTATGAAATAAATAAAAGTTTAATTTGTTATAATGTACTACCTGAAAACCCAAAAATCAAACTATAATTTTTAGGATTTGTGGTTTTCATGGCGGTGAGTCTGAAGATGACTGCCTTCTGGGTTGTTGTGCCATGTAGTCTGGTAAAAGTTTACTGATGTTTCAGAGGTCCTTGCTGTCTCAATCACTAGGGCACCCTGATAATGGAAGCAGCAAGGACCTCTGAAATGTCAATAAAATTCTACCAGCTACATACTGCAACAACCTAGAAGACAGCCAACTTCAAACTATAACTTTATCTAATGTTTTTAATAGGTTGAAATTTGGTCTGTCACCATTATGACAGAACATAAATACTGATAATAAAGTATTAGTGGGAACATTTTGACAGTTGCATGAAAAATACTTCAGTTACTTCATGCGTGACATAGACGCCACTTGTGTGAGTGTATATACATCCCTCTCTACACCATCTGCCTCGTTAGTGTTGGTTGGTCACTCTAATATTGTTAAAAAAGATCAAATCACAGAGGATGAGATAGTATGAGACATGTAGAATGCATGGAAGAAAAGGGAAAATGGAAACCTGAAGAGGAGAGACTACTTTTCTGACCTAGGAAAAAATGGAAGAACAATATTAATACAGAACTTAGACAAACAGGAAGTGCAGCTGATTGAAATGGGTACTGTGAATATGGAAAGACATAGTTGAGGCCCAAACTAAGACACTATACAGGAATAACCCAGAAAACCTGAAAATCTGTCATGGTACTGGGTATACTGGCTAAGATTCATTGGGGAACTTCCAAAATAAGAACCAGAAGTGCACCAACAATTAAAATATAAATTAATGTTAAATGAAAAGAGTTCCACTTACTGGAAGTTCAGTGGGAAGGGTGAATCCATCCTTAACATTCCAAGCAGCATTCCTTGGAAAAACCTGCGGTGGAGAGTGAACAGATGGCAATAAAGCTGCTGCTCCTTCCTGGAAAATGTGTTCCACACATTTGAATTCAAAGCACTTAGCAAAAACGCAGACACAGAAATGTAAAACGAGACACTTCAAAATGTGTCCTCTTCACCCATGTTGTTCAGAGTGACATAATTTTGGGCGAAACTCCTCAGGGGATGGGACTGACTGGGAGTCTCAACACAGATGGAAGGAAAATATTAAAATGTTCTGAAAGGAAAGCAGGACTTGAAGGTCCTGCCTTGATTCAACTGGTTTAAGATAGAATCTAATGACAGTTTTTTTATCACAGTGATGAAACTCTGGGCCTGACAGATGCAGCAAGTTCTATGATACGTAAGCTAAATATCTTACATTTGGAGTCAAATTTTCTGTGTTTACAAGGACAAATTTATACACTGACCACTCACCTCACTTTTTGCAATGCTGTGGGGTCTAGAAACAGACTCACACTTTGCCACTGCATTCAGTAAATAGTGTGCATCGTTACTTTCTCCCACTAGTGACGAAGTCAAAGATTCTGCCAAGTGGTAATGAGTGCCTTCTTCCTATAATCCACAAATAAAAGAATTACATCACACTTAATCTTTCTTGAATAGGGGTTTTCTATCATTTAGTGTTTAATTTCTGTCCATTTGAAGTTTTTCACAGTTCAGTGCTCAAACCCATTGTCCTTCAGAGAAATCACAAATGGGGATTTAATTATATTTTATTATGACTGTACATACAATATGCCTTTTCAGTACTGATAATACTGTGACATATTTAACATGACTGTTCCATTATAAAAACCCTTTTGTTTAGTTACCTTTAAAACTTACTTGAGGACTTACAGAAAAAGTGTACTGGACATAAAATATGTGCTTCAATCTTCTTTGCAACCTTTGTTTGAAATGTTTTGATTCAATATATTTTTGGTGAGTTACATTACAGATGCATGCAGGTCTTCATGTAGAGCATACATTATTGTTGTCCAGTTTTAACCAAAATAGAAATATGCTGGCAACGTTTAGTAAAATTCATCAGCTTCATTTCCACTATATATGTTCTTTAACTGTGTAACATATGACAAATCAAAATCTATACTCCATACTACAGATTTCAATAAACCACAGGTATTGTTCAGAAGCCTCAGAAAAAGAAATAATTTGTTGAGGCTTTCTGTATCACGAGTCCCCAAAGATTCCAGTGTGCATTAATTAGAACACTGCAATCACTACAGTCAATGTTACAAATCCTTTTAAACAAATAATTTGTCACACTTAGGCAGAGAACAAACTGTTAAAAGGACTTGTTTGTCTCAACATTTTCTGTTATAAATTTCCTGTTATACTTCACCTTCACAGTTTCTTCATCAGAGGATATAGCATTTCCATTCACAAAGTGTTCATTTCCATCAGCAACATTTTCATTCTGTAACAATACGGAGTCAGGACATGATATGATACACACTTTTATTTCCCTCAACCATTATATAAATGTATTATAAATGAAAATAATTGCCTTAATCTGATACTATGATAGAATAAACATAAGATTTTATATGAGCCTAAGCACCACAAAATAAAGGCATACAGTTCAATACCAGAATGGGGTGGGTAAAAAAATCACACCCGTGCTTTAAATCAGACATTGGGAGATCATCTCACAGTTTGTTGATTGAGCTACAATAGCTCCACTCACTTTACTGTCTTTGAGAATGAGCAATCATGAGATTCGGAGTGACATTTATCTCTTACTTGAATGGAGTGTTGGCTGACAGTTTGGGGTTTATGACGGCTCTGTACTGTTCCAGCAGCATGATACAGGCTGACAACTTCTTGGATCGACTGTAACGTCTTCTGGCGAAGAGGATCAGAACTTATCATCTGAAGATCACGGAAAAGTTGAATCAAGAAGTGGGGACGATTCTCATTGGCTGATATGAGTGCTGCAACTTCTGAGTACACAGACTCACTGAGGGCTTCAAACAAGGCATTCCCTATACTGAAAACACACATATAGTCTATATGTATCAAATATATGAACAACCTTAGAGGAAGAAATAAATAAATAAATCTTTACATAATTGAAGGAAAGAATGAAAGAAAGAATGGATAAAAATACGATGAACAACAAACAAATCATACTGTTGTGATTTTATGTAACATACATGTTATATGTTTTCTAAGTGAAATTAATACAAATGAAAAATTTATTTTATGAGGAAACATATGAAAGTTAGAAGCATATCAGAGCATGATAAATGCAAGAATATAAAATTTGAACCAAACACTGCAGATGGCAGGGTTACCGCCAGCCCTGTATATGAACAATTGCATGTAATATAGTTGCACAGGCAACACATTAATGACAGCATGAAATAAGAAGTTAAAGGGAATTTGTTGCAGTGTACTACCATGAAGAAAAATCAAACGATGGCAATCCAGCCTCCAGTAAGTCACTCCACTTAGTAAGCAATCTTGGCTCATAACCAGTATCTACTAGATGTACTTACTGTTCTGGTTTTTGGTCTGTGGTATTGGCAGTAGAATCACAGGTAGAAATACATTTCTGTTGTGACTCAGACACTGATGACAATGAAGGTTTGGGATTCTTCCTTTTGCTGACTGCAGGGAATGATACACCTTCGGTCTTAATGTGTGAGAACTCAGACAATTCATCATTTCTGGACCCTTGGTTCTCTTGGTAAGATGACAAACATTCTGATGACAAGGAAAAATTCTGATGCCTTTGAACATCCTGTCCTGCAAGTGATATATTCCTTACATCTGTTGTAATGTCAGATTCAAGATGAAGCTCAGGCACAGAACTAAAATTCTGTTGCCCTCCTGTACTTGGGATACATCTGACTAAACTTCTTATTCCAGAAACATTTGTCTGGAGATGTAAATCCTGTAAAATATTTTCATTTGGCAAAATTTGTCTCTGTGCCCTAGGTCTTGAAATATTTGGCTGATCACCAAAGTTATGCTGATCCCTTGATCTTGGATGACAGCTGGATAAACCTGGAGTTTCTAACAGCCTGTAATGTAGTCCAGTTGCATCTGACACATTGTTATGGGCTGGACCAGGGAGGCTGATATTGTCCTGGGTGCTCTGGTATTGCTCTGTATTCAGTTTTTCCTTCCGAGACCTGAAACATAATTAATTGCAAACAATTAACACTCTGGCAGTGCAACCTAAAAGTTCAACACAGTCAACCCCAAAGTCCATTAGTGCACAACACCTTCCAATCCCAAACCTTACTTCCTTAAGATGCATCTCAATATTATCCTTCCAACAACCTGGTGACTGAACATTGTCATTAAACACTTTGAAAGATCCTAGATTTGAATCTTGGCAAGGGGGCCATATATTTGATGATTTTTTTTTTAGTTCTTCTTAGCAAATGTCAGGGCAATAACTTAAAATAGGTCAATGTAAATTCCTTCTACAGTATTTCCACTTCATCATTCACAGTCATCCCACTATTTGATACTATATAACTTATGCAGAAGGAAAAGCCTCATACATAACTCAGGAATCAATCGATTGGTCATAATTTTTGATCATGCAAGCGGAAATTTTGTTACTCTCCTCAATTTGTATTAAATATCAACACAATCTGAACATCCATATTTATTATGAAACTTCAAGACCCCGCAATGAACAGTTCTAGCGCTGTTTCCACATCACACGTTCATACCAGTATTGTTGATGACAGAATTAAAAAGCAAGAAGAAGATATGGACTCCAGTGGCATGATGTTTATATAGTCACTCACACAAGAATCAGTCCAATACTGATATATATATATATATATATACATACATACACACACACACATACATACTGAAAACATGGAATGAATGAACACATGCAGCTTGCCAGTAGAGTTCTGAAGAAGGAAATGAGATCTTTTTCCTTATGAACCTGACAGTTATTTAGCTGGTGAAGAAGTTTCATGCATTTATGTAAAATGAAAGTTCTGTGTGTTCACATCAACCCACCAATGGACCCCATCTTGCATTCAATTGCCCAAAAATGTTTGGTGAACAACACAAATTATGAAGCTGCTCTTCATGCAAATTGTTTACAGTATTCTGTTACTACCTGTCTCGTAAGAACAAATATTGAAACACATTGATCTATGTTATTCAGGACAGTTGAGAGAACAGCTTCACATCTTTATACACAGAATGTCCTAAAAAGATGTATACACACATTCAATGAATAAAATAAAGCACTGGCACTTAATGAATTAGAAAATCTACTTGTGTCTTCAGAATGACAACCATTAGCTTTGTGGCACAGCTGACAGGGGTGAGCACCAACTGATAAGCAGTCACTAAGTTGCTGCTATGTATCCATCTTTTTTTGGGACACTGTGTGTATGTATGTATGTGTATGTATGTATGTGTGTATATATATATATATATAAACAAGTAAAAGTTTCTGAAGTGAATGGTAGCACACATTTTCCTACATTTAAGCTGCCCTTAATTTCATAATATCATTTTAATTTGTTATTTTATGAATGAATGAATTTATAAGTTTGATGTTTACACATTACAGATGTCTGGGCACAGCTTGTTGGTCTTATATCCCCACTTCCCAAATTACATACATTTATACATCTTTCACCTTCAATTCTATTTAATCTATTAAAGTATTTAAGGGCTTTGTACCCTTGTATACTAATGGATTTATTATTGGTACACTCACATGTTCTGCTCTGGACCAGAGAATATGGCTCCTCCTATGCCTTGTGACAGAATTGATGTACTTGATTGAGGATCTACAGCCACTAAGCTGCTGGACTGACTAAAAGAGCCTCGCAAAGTGTTGTGAGATCGATCCACGAGGGGGCTTGGGCTGTGTGATACGCCTTCGTTACTCTTCGTACTTGTTGACAACAGGTTCTGACGGGAGTAGCTGACAAGAAACAAGAAGAAACTTTCTTACTTCAACTTATGGGATAGGAATGGCATGTAGCATGTATGAGAAAACAAGAAATTTCATACAAAACTGTTAATGGAAAACCTGAGAGTATGAGACCACTTGAAAGACCAAGGAGTAGATGGAAAGATAATCTCAAAATGAGTCTTAAAGAAACAGGGTGTATGTGCTCAGGATAGGGTCCAGTCGTGATTCTTATGAACACAGTAAAGAACATGCAGTTTCCATAACAGAGAATTTCTGAATGTGGTGTGTAATTATCAACTGCCTGAGAAAGACCAGTACCATGGAGTTAGCATATTAATTTATCTTTTTGAAGAACTTCTTCTCTACTTGCAATACAGTTTGTCATATATTTTGATGGTGACAACAACAAAACATTTCCACCAAAATGGGTCATCCTAAGACAATATTCTTCTTTATCCTCCAATAAACACTCCTCTTGTATCAGTGCCCACACTTTCATTGCATGCTTTTCTACCTTCCCTGACTTGTTATCTCCATCTTGTCCTTGGTCTCCCCAGTGGTCATTTATATAACACCTTCAGTTTGATGTTCCCAAAGGAATCCTATTGTCACCCATGTATAACATATGACCATACCACTGTATTTTTAATTGCAGGAACTTTTATTGTAGTGTTTCTACTTTCAAATGTTGTTTAATGTCAAGGTATCAGATTCTGTCTGCTCATTTAATAAAACACCTTATATGGTTGTGGTAACTATGCTTTAACATTCAACTTAGCATGTTGGCCATTCAGTCCCTCTATGGGTTTCATTTGATTCCCACGGTGAACAGCAACACTTTTCTTACACATCATTAAAAGAATGCAGTTCTGAATGATCACTGTGAAAAGATACATCATCATGTATTATCCAGCAATGATGCTACTTGTAAACAGCCACATACATCATTCATCATGTAATCTAAGTGCAGACACACAGTGCAGAATTAGGTAGAGCTGAGACATAAAGGCCATTGAATACACATGCAACAAATACTGTGAGCTTCTTAAAGGTTCTCATTCCACATCAGCAGTTAGAACATCTTCAGTGGGTGGCTTCCATGGATGACCTGCACTGACAAGTGCAAGAAGTGTAAGACTTTCTGTCTCCCAAAGACACTGCTCTTATCATCTAAACATATTAATGTCTCAATGACATCCAGGATAATGTTGAGTAATACTTCCATGATGATGCTCCAATTCTGCTATCACATGTATCTAGGTTTAACAGCATTTTCACATGGTATCACAGCGGAACTGGTACTACCTCAAGCACTGGTCCTTAACGTACTTCATGATGATGAACTACATCCATTTCACTATTCACAGAACCAGAAAATTGTCTTCTATATTCTATAGACGCAGTTCTGCAATGGTTGCATCAACAACCATCTGTTGACATGCTCTATGAAAGTATGTTTTTGACCAACATGTGTTTTACGTGTGAGGGTATCTTTAATGTCCAAAATAATCACCTCTGGTCACACTGTTGTACAATTGGTAATGCCAGTATGCTATGGTGTGTACAGGAAAATATTATGTGATACACTGCCACCTGTCTCCAAATGCATGGCATTCCTTTTAACATGTATTACGAGCATAACAGGAACACTACTGCAGGGACTTTGAACTTCATTGTCCATGTTGTTTCTCCCATTATCTTATTTGGGTGCAATCCTTTACTGGCCCTTTTGACAGTGATGTACCTTAAAATCTAAACATCAGATAATGTGTATTACTTAACATCTGGTGCATATTTTTTGTACAATAATTACCACTATGGAAAACTTGTGAACATTTCTTTTTTTACCACATATAAGTAACCACTGTGATTTAAATAGTTAATCTGCTAAGGGTTGGATTTAGGAGAGAAGTGAAACTATTAATGACTGAAAAAACTACATTTCTCTTGTTAGCACTTGTAACCACATGCTTGTGAATAGTCAGCACAGATACATTTACATTAAACACACTAATCTCAAAGTATAGCTCCTACTCATTCTTGACCTTGGCACTAGATGGGGGTGAGTGGTCAGCATCACGCCCCGGCCACACTTTACCCCTGGAAAAGGACCCCGGTACCCACGGATAGGAGGCTGGGTGGGCCCCAGAATCACTGGATGCAGAAGCTAGAGGAAAAATCCCCTGCCCGTCAGGGATCGAAACCCAGTCGTCCAGTCTGTAGCCAGTCACTATACTGACATATAATCTGTAAGAGGTTTACCGATGTTCGACAGGTCCTTGCTATCTCCATAACTATCATTCTGATGATGGAGGCAGCAAGGACCTCTGAAACCTTGGTAAACTTCTACTAGTCCCCAGATAATGCACTGTTGATTTACTATCTGTGAGTCAGTAGTTTATACCACAGACATTGGCTGTAAAAGTCTATGATCAATATTATATATTACAGAATATTAGGACTGGTAACAGTCTTCACTTGAAGCCAATACATTCATGCTGCTGCATTATAACAAGAATATGAAAAGGGAAAACACTCAAATTAGTAAGTGATAAGCAGTTAATGTAACACAGACACACACACAAATTTCAGATTACATCACTTACCAATCTTGTCAGGTGTTTTCAAATACCGAAGAACTTTGGTCACAGCTATAATTTCTTCATCACCAATGAGGAAATGTATGTGAGGAGGTGCAAGTTTTGTGCACATGTACTAATAAGAATGGAATATGTAGAGGACAAGCAAGAGAATTTTTAAAGGGTTTATTAGAAGAGTACTGGATGAAGCTGTAAAAGTATGTACCATGGATATAATGCATCGTGTGATACAAAAAACTGTATCTTGCTAGTTGCAATGCCAACAGCACTACATCGAAAATACAGCAGTAAGACTAGGGTGGCATTATCTTAAGGGCCATTATTTCCAACTGTGCCACGTGTACAAAGTCAAAACTTCCATGCTTGTTTATTCATACTGAGCTATAATGTAATTACTTTTATTTTACAAGATGGTAATGGAAGTGAGTTGTAGCTTGCTCATTCACATGAAAGTTTTATGTCATTACAATAGAGCAGTTTTTCAGGCGTGTTTGCAATGCACCTGCAAAAATGCATATATCACCTTTGCTATGGATGTAATTACTCGAGAACCGTTGAGTGGATTTTCATAAAACTTTGTATTGAAGAGTTATACTAAAATCTGTCAGTACATTCAAATTTTGGTTGAAAAGGAACAATAATAACAGACAATACCTCAAGACCCAAATTCATTCATTTCTGTATGTGGAAGTGAATCTGCCATACACACTGCCCACAAAAAAGGTACTGACCCCAGACAACTTTGATATCACTGATGCCATTTTTGAAGGTCAAAGGTTATGTGTTGATGGAACAAACAGTTTCAAATACTTACTCTACTTGTATGACAGCGTTCATAAATTTAGAATTTGGAAAATATAAGAACAAACACACCAGGACTGTTATACTTTGCATACATTTCCTGTGCTTTATTGTGGTGATATAAACTGTTACAAAAGAATGGCCAACACTGATTTTGTATCACCAGTGACTGGTTGCTTTCTCTGCTTTTTGTTGTCTTGTACAGATTAAGTAATGTCTGTGCAGTAAATTGTGCATGCAGATTATCAGTATTTCCATTTCTTCATAACAGAAAATGTGTCACCTCAAGCTGCTCAAGATTAGAAGAAATATGTTTCAAAAATAGTTACACATGGCCACGTGTCTGACTTGTGGCAAGTACTATACTTGAGCAGAGTCAGTGTAGCTCGGTCAATATAGTGCCTGACTACAAATTTGATGGATGACTTTGCTTTGATCCCTGGCACGGGCAAGGAAATTTTCTTGTAGTCTATGCATCCAGACCAACTTTGAATGGTGCCAAAGCTAAGACTATAGCATCAAATAACTGGATTATTAATGAATAATGAACTGAAAAGTATGTGTAAGGAAGATACCATATTGTAAGTAGGATTTGAGGTTCTCATGGCAGGGAGTATAAAAATAGCTTCCTTCTCAGTTATATCACTGTGTAGTCAGGTAGATGTTTACCAACATTTCAGAGGTCCTTGTTGCTTCCATCATCAGGGTGATGAGTAACTCAGTGCCCTGATGATGGAGGCACCAAGGACCTCTGAAATGCTGGTAAACTTCTACCAGACTACACAGTGCTACAACCCAGAAGACAGCCATCTTAAATCATGTCCTATTTTAAGACAAAAAACTGGAAGAGTAATCAAGTATAGTTGCTGCAGATATTTTCATTGCTCATCATACCCCTTGGGAATCAATGGCAATGGGCATTTGCATTCCATGTTGTTTATTATGCCTTAATAAAATATGGAATTCCAGGATCAATAAAGATAACTAGTCTAAAGGCAAGAATTCAAATTAGGATTTTCTACATATGAACCAACAGTGATAACTATATACTCTCCACAAATATCAGGTGAATTTGTCAGTCACAAATTAACAGTGACTTCATGAACAACTACAACTATTAAATTTAATTGTTATTAAATATTTATTGTAGGATATTCTCTTCTGAAATACCACAATTTTGACATGGTAAAACTTATTTTAAGTTCCTTTCAATGTCATAAATTTTACAAGTGTGCAATACTCACAAGGTTCTACAGTGAATATAGGTCACTGCAAAAATCTGCTCTCTTATCCCTACATGTTAATAAGCAAGTAACTGATAACAATCAGAACCATTCAGAATGTACCTCACTTCTTCAAAGTCTGTGACATATAAACAAAAATCATCATGTGAAGGCTACAACGAACAAAATGTATACATTTAAGAAGCTGTAAATAAAGGTAAGCCATTTGTTTTATTATTTTTTATGTTTAAAATCTATTTTTAGCAAATAAATACACTTTCCAACTTCCCATTCAACTTGTAACTCTATGCATAATTAAAGCACAGTGTAAAAGTCATGTTCATCCATCCTATATTATCAAATACTGAGCAAATTCTGATGACACAACTACAGCAAATGTTGACCACAATTAATATTTATTAGTTTTCTTTAATTTTCAATATAACACCTCTTTTACGTGAAGTTTAAATCAAACTTCATAAATTATCTGAAGAACAGCTCTACAAAAAATTCAAACATGATATAAAATACAAATATCATTGATATCTGCAACTTTAAAATGAAACACTTTTTGATGAGGTGAAATATTTAAAGAAAAAGGAGAAAAGATAATTTCTGCTTTATGCGGCAAAGACTGCAAAGAAATAAGTAATAAAAAATAAAAACAACAACAAAAAGTGAGTTTTACAAGAATGAGCAGTTTTACCTTCTAAAATTATCCCAGTAGTTGTTTGCCCTGTTTCCTGGTGGGACCTGATTGTTGAGGGCTGGTACAGGTGAAGGAGTTGTGTGTCCCTGTAGGAGTCCTGGTGTCCCCCCTGGAGCCCCATGTTGCAGCCAAGGGGCACCTGAACCAGGCTGAGGGGCAGAGCACTGGATCAAAGAAGACAGAGGTTGCTGTTGGGACCGGTTGTTGAAATTCACATTGTTATTTACAGGAAATGGCAAGGTCATGGTACCAGCAAGAAAATTATGTGCTGGAGTTGGACTGAAGTTTGGAACAACATTATTCAAGGGTGTGTTTGAAGGGCCAGCATCAGGGTGATGCGGAGAGAAAACAGAGTTAGCAGAGGTTGTTGTCTGCGAGAGATTAGGCAGGGAATGGGCACTGGTTACTCCAGACGAAGCAGTCATTTCTTCAGGTGACTGGAACAGACCTCCACTGTAACTCAGCTTCAGATTCTGGTGGGGAGTAAAGGAGGTCAAGTTAGGGTTAGTTATGGTCTGTTGGAGCCTTGTAAGATTTGACTGGGATTGATGTGGTGTTGGATGTGCGCTATTCTGAGTGGATGCGATGAGTATAGCTTCTTCAGGCTGACCAATCACTGCAGGTGATGAATAACTTTCACCTCCATGACTGCCATTTCCACAAGATGTTTTCTCTTGAAGCTGCGAAGGTAATAATGTACATACATAAATATAAATAGTCTAGAATTCTCACAAAATTGGCAGTAAAGTCATTCACAAGACACATACATTTGTTATTTCACTAAACTATTACAGCACAACTGAGTAACTGATATCTTCAGTTATTTAACAAAGCTATTTTAATGTTACAGTTTACACACCATCAGTGAAATGTAAAAGATGATCACAGGTAAAGAGTAGGTGAGGATTTTGAAGGAGGCAGTACTTTTGAAAGAGACTGGGGGGGGGGACTTTTTCACACCTCATTCAAGATGACTGGTAACATGCCTAAGATTTGAACCATATACCTCCTGAATACAAGTCTTAATTGTTACTGATACACCAATCTGGTTGGTAACTGTGACACAGTGTACAGTTACATGTCTAAAACAATGTCAAAACTTAGGCATAATACAATAGGAATGTGTAAGTTACAACCAAATTCAGAAAGGATATGCATGTTGGACAGAATATTCTAAATCTTGTAAGACCAGTTTTAAGTTGAAAGAAGTTAAATACCAGATGGGAAGACAAATGCCATCCTTCTAGCCATTGGATTCCAGTGTATTTATCTCCCAGAGTAAAGCAGCTGAACTGTGAAACTGATCATTCACCTCCACCTAATGCCAAATTCTAAACTGCAATGGGGTCTACTTCCATACACCCTACACCTAGTGCTGAGTTTAGGTATGAAGAAAATTTACCTTCAACTATGAATAAATCTTTATTGTAAATGACTGCCTGATGGGTTATTATGGTGATGCTGATAATAATAAGCAGCAGGAACAATGTATGATGCTTATTTTCCTTCAAAAGCTTCACTCTATGAGGCTATCAAGAATTTAAATTAATAATAATGCAATTATGTGATCATTTTCTGTGCAGTAAAAATTTTGACATTAAATTTGCAGATACCCTAAAAGATCGATTCACCTGTAATAATATTGTTTGAGACCCTATAAAAGCAGAACATGCATATTTATCAAATACTATTACCACAAAAAACTTAGGATCCTATCACTACATAGTACTGCAGTACAGTAGCTAGTATTGCTTCAAACTCACAAATTCAAAAAGTCCTGATGCTGGAAAATTGAAAAGAATAAAAACAGACTGACCCCTTGTGACATTATATTCATGCTAAGTTTCATAAAAATCTGGCTGAAAAGTTAATAATGCGGACTGATATGGACATAATACTATAAGCCTATTTTTTTTATAAAATATGGAAAGTGCACCAAGATACCGAACAATCATATCACAAATACCCACATAATAATTAAAGGAAATATAAAGCTAATCATACATATTATTCACACAGCTTTAACACACATAGTAACAGGTATACTCACAGCATGAACTGCTGACCTCAATGCCATAATTTCTCTTTGCTGCAACCATAGGAGTTGGCAACATTGATTCACTGTCGTTAACAACATCTGCTGCTGCTGTAGCTGACTTGCTGCAAGTAACTGCTGGTAGTAAGTATCAGGAAGTGAAGTAACATTTGCTGGAAGGAGGTGACTGCCAAGCCCACCTGAACAAGAATCAAGTAACATTTTGAATCCCTTAATATTCTCAGGACTGACTAACAAGTTGCCAAACTTATTTGTAGCTCACAGACACTTTTAAGACAGCAACTTTCCACAAACACAACATAATGCTTGATTCACACACACCTGAATGATTTAAGGCTAGTGTCAAGAAATGTCCAGAAAATGTTATCCAATGGGCCCAACAGATTAGATTCTATACTTTTACTGATGACACAAGCAGAGCCAGCATTCAAAACAGCGTGTTTTAACTAACACTGTATGTTTCTTTGCTTACAGAAGGAAAATGTCTAAGAAGATGCAACAGTTCATTGAGGATATTTGGGAATAGGTTCCTGAGGGGAATCAGTTATTTTACTAATCTGTCACATGGAAATTAGCAATGAGGTCTTCTTGGGCAATCAGCCATTAGGAAGTCACAAAAAACTGATATTTTGAGAACCGTCTAGGTCTTCATCATCACGGAACTGATATCTACAGAGCCCAGGATGTCCCACAACATCAGTTCCCTGATGATGAGAACTGAGATGGTTCTTGAAACAAACATTGGGTATTTGTGACTACCTGATGCAGATGATTGCTGGAGAAGTCTTCACTGATATTAGTCACAGTCCATACTGTGTACTGTGGGTCGTAGGTGACCGAAGACATGATGTAAATAAGACGCTGGTCTCCTGTCACACAGTATGGAATGCCACCAGCCCAAACTCAACCCCCTCAAACACCCCAATTCTTTATGAACTATTTTATGAAGCTGTACAGCATTCTCACTTGCACTTTCATCTTTCTAATAATCCAGGATCTTCATGATGTGTCACATACCTAAAATATCCTACGCCCTGTAAATAATATTTTATTACTGTTTCAACACATATCAATAATTGTATCTTTCTATTCACTTTAAAAAATGTATGAAATTTATGTTGATAATGGGTCTGTTTTCAAAATCCAACTGTGTTACCAATACTTGTAACACTGCATCAAAATAACTTCTTGCATGTCAGCCTGAATTCAGTGAAACATGTAGCCTCACAAGTTTGTCAGTTTATAGTTCTGTGTAATGGATTAATAAAATAACTGGTATGTCACAATGCACAACAGAATGCTTCAGTATAAAATAGCTGAGGGAATCATTTGGATCTAAGAGGAATGAAGTGATACAAGTTTCAAGAAAACAGTGTGATGAGAAACGTTATAATTTGTACCCTTAACCAAATATTGTTTGTAAAATCACTGGCCTATCACTATTATAAAACTTGTCTTTTCTTCTCAGCATATAATTTGCAGATGGTATTTCTCTAACAACTGAAACATCACTATTGCAAGTTACTGAATACAGTAAATGGATGCAGAGATGCAGAGATGCAGAGTTGGTGCTACTTGGATCTTACCTGCTATAACTGAATGGGCTTGAGGGTGGGGTGTAGAAGGGTATGGTGGAGGTGGGAAACCCCAGTGAGGCAATAAGTTGTTGCCAACTCCAACAGAAGTAAGCAGGTTGTTTCCATGTTGCTGCTGTTGTGATTGTTCCAGCAGCATGCTCTGGCACAAATTGCTGGTGACCTCCAGCTGATGCTGCAACTGTACAAGAAACACCATCCTAAATTGGTGTGTAGCAACATTCAGAATTTAAATATTCTTCACAAAAGTTTACCAGTGCGGTAATAGAAGTAGGACAATAATGGGAACTTTGTCAGTGCATGTCATCTTACTGACCTGTGCTGACATTTCTTTAATAAAATGTTGGTGTCTCAATATTTAAAAACATTTTTTATACTTATTACTTTTCACAACAACCATCCTGAATCTTAATATATATTATTTCTTTATCATGTTCATTTTGTATTATTTGTTCTTACAATTTTCTTATAATGTTAAGTTTCTCTATTAACTGCAATGCATAAAAATATATACACTGAAAAATTCAAAGAATTATAAATAAGAACATAACCACAGAATTCCACAACAGTAGACCAATATGTGGTCTGGCATGCTGCAACTGTACAATCTTACCACTATCCTCACTTCCTGTTTATGATCTTCCTAATCGTTGTTTTTCTAGAGGCATTTATACCGAAATGCTACATGCTTTCCTTGTCTCCCCAATCTTACATTTCAGCCATTCTTCTCTGATCCACAACCATTAACTACCATTTTCACCAAACTGGCAAACACTACAACTCAAAGGAACTGACTGCAAAACACTAATATTTTAAAAAGATCAAGCACATGTAGCATCTACTGTCTACCACCATGACCACTGAACAAACCTTCACAGAGTAAAGTACTGAAAAAAGGTATTGTTTGACCACATCACCTGCAGACCCTCCCAAAACCAACCACCACCACCTGCTGAAGTCATCTTGGAAAGATGTTGAAAGTCTAGTTTACAAGTGTTTGTGTTTATGTAAAAATATGTTGTACATGAGGTCGTGCATAGACAATCTGCATACCAGACAATCCACACATGGATAATTGTGAGTTTACTGTATATGTAATGAAATATAAGGAAAATCGACTCTGTACAGGATGATATTGAAATGTGATTTATTAGCTTTGCAGCAAACATATTAATATTATTCGGTATGCATATTAACAGAGAATGCATTTTGGAAATATGTGTACTGTACTAAACTTATTTTGTAATGGTTCTCACCTGAAGTGCTTGCTGCTGCCACCAGCTGGGGCTGGAATTTGAGCTCATGAGGCCTGTGTTATGCAGGGTTGCAGAACTACTGCTGTTGTTATTGTCTAGATTGTTGGATGATGAGACCAATTCATCAGCTGTACACAGATTTTCTTGTCTCATCTGGTGAGATGAAGGAGTCCAAATGGCTCGTGGACCAGATGTTCCACTGTCTATAAACCATAGTTGTACATACTGTAGTACAGATGGGAAAAAGAGAGAGAGAGCACAAATCTTTTCTTACCCATGTGCCAAACATTTACACAATGAAAAATCTAGGTTTGGAGATAAAACTCCATACATTCCAGAGCTTGGCATTTATAAATGAGTGGTTAACTTCATGCCCTGCATATTTTACCTGCCTTCTCCATTTTGAAGCTGTAAAACAATGTATAAAATGAAAAGCCTGATACAAATAACTACTGTGTTCACAGACACACACACACAAGAAAAACTTTTGTTGCATTGCAATATCATATTTAAAATATGACCAAATTAACAAAAGCTGGTACAGACACAAAACTAGAAACTGGAATTCATCTATCTGGCTGTAAGCACGACAATTAATAAACTGATCTACCACAGGACATGATCGTCAGCTAGTTCCATTCACCTCCCATCCTCAAAACCTATCAAAGATCCATCTCAACATTCTTCTCTCATAACTTTTCAGCCATTCAAGTGACATTTTTCCAAGAGGTTTCTCCACAAACACTCTGTATGAATTCCTAACTCCCAATCCTAATCACATGTCCATGTCATATTCTATGAGTTGTTTTTAACAGTTTATCTCAGTTCCTTAAGTAAATGCTGGAACAGTACCTTAAAACAGGCTACATTCTTCCACATCTTTCTGAATTTATCCTCCACTAATTTGATATGCATGACAGATTTATAAAAATGAAAATGTGTCACATAACAAAACCATTGATGGACACAGAAATATAAATTGGAAAAATGTAATACTAGAAATAAGTGTATATATTTCTACACCATATTCTTAATTATGAACAACCTTAATTTTGTATTAGCAACTTTCCTCACCTGCAGACAGTTTCCTCCAAACATTGTGAGAGGCAGGGCCTTGTCTCTGTGAACGAGAACAGCTTCCAGCAGAGGGAGGAACACGGCTGCTAGATCCAGCTATGCTTGCAGCATTACTGTGGCTTGTGTTCATATTTCCTGACAGCGATAAGCGGCTTGATTCCAAGGACATGCTTAACAGGTCCCTGACAAACACAAAACCAAATGATGCATATAAAATCACACAAAATATTACAAAACACACAATGTGCCTATTATGCCCTATTAAGAAGAAATGCGAATGGAAAATAAGAGAACTGAAAGCATACTACAAACAGGAGAAATGTAATTCCAATGGGCAGAAGGGGAAAGAGAAAAAGAGAGAAAGGATAAGAAAACAAAATCCAAAATTAAGATATTACAAAATATCTGGAAACAGAAATACTATATGAAACAAAGTATGGAAAGAGCTCGTGCAGAAATAAGTGAAGTGATTATGGGAGAACAGAGAATGGAGAAGACTGTCAGAAGACATACATAGCGGAAAGAGATCAGAAAAAGCACTCATAGGAGGAAACAAGGAGAAGACTACATCATAAGAGGAAAAACAGGGGACACACTGAAGAGAGTGCTTATGGATGACGTAGAACAATGCAAAAAAGCTTTGCTGTATGTTGGAAAGATGGGCACAGGTGGGTTATGGAACGTCGATAACTTTCTAATAAGTTAAAATACCTTGTCTTTCTACATGGTCTTTGGAAATATTGTCAAAGTTGCTTGTGCAACCAATTCTAATCCCCTGTCACATTCAATATAGAAGGATGTAGCAAACCTGAAAGTCCTACTGCCTCATTTAACATAGTATAACTTCTTACAATTTTAAATATTGAAAGGGCATAACTATAAATGTATCTTTGATTCTGTATGGACATACAACTTGGTCCCTCACATTAAGGGAAGAACTCAAACTAAGGATGTTTGAGAATGAAGTTCTAAGGAGAATATACAGACCTAAGAGAAAGTAACAGGAGGTTTGATGCATAATAAAGAGCTTCATAATTTTCACTCTCCACCAAATATATTATTAGGATGAACAAACTAAGGGTTATGCAATGGTTTAGGCATCCAGCACATATGGCAGACATAAGAAATGTGTACACAATTTTAGCAGGAAAAAGTGAATGTTAGAGACAACATAAAAGGATAATATTGAAATGGATATTCAAGAAATATGATACGAGAGTGTGGGTTGGATGACCTGTAGTGGAATAAAATTTCAATAACAACAAAAACCAACCAAGTGGCTCAAAAAGTCATGGGGGAAGGAACAGATATGTGGACATGATACCGTAAGCACATCTTTCATTATAAATCAAAAATGGTCTAAATTTTCTGGAAGAAGTTTATACCTTGTGGTTGTCATGGTCTGTGACAAAGGATCTTTGTTGTTGCTGCTATTGTTTAACTGAACCAGTGAACCGGCACGGAATGCTAGATCTTCCTCCTCCTCTTCATCTTGGGCTTCGTCACTGCCACATGAGAACGTTACACAATAATTACGACATTCAACAGTCTAGTGTAGCTGTAATGGCCTAAGAAGTTACTAGCTATCCTGCCTGAGAATTTTCATAGTTTTATCATTCTCTATAAAAAAATTCAGGGACAGGGTCTTCACAAATACCATAACTGCCTCCTTCCAAATGCTTATGTTCTCATTATTCACTACCCTTCTCATATCTTATATGATGCTGTATAACCTACAGAGCTGAAGCAGCACTGCTTAAAAAACAAGAATAGATGACATATTTTAAGCAGAAACTTTGCCTGAAGTGACAGAAAAAAAAATTCAGTTAAGACAGCCAACAGTATGGTCACATGTTCCTTCTACCCCAACCTGCTCAGTAAAACGTCAACTGTATCTGCAATAAACAAACATCAAGACCAATGAGTTATGTATGCCAACAGCATTTTAAAACATTCACTAACCTTGAGTAGCCAGCACTCTGCTCCTGAATATCATTATCCTGATCTGCTAGATCATCCAATGTTCCCTGTGTGGAGCCACCCCATGTAGCATTTGCTGTTCCTTCAGCCAAGAAACTGTATCCTGCAATAAACATGCTGTAGTCAAATACTGTCAAATGCATTTTATCATAATCTAGAAGTAAGTCATCCTCCAACTTATTCACACACTCAGTCCTAAGCTCGCTAGCGCACTCACTTTTCTATGAATATTGTCTTATACCAAGATGGCATATGTCACTTTTCAAATGCTACCCAGCACTCATGACTGTCTTTAAACCTTAACATAAAATCTCTACAATTGAAACAGTGTCATCAAATAGCTTTAGAATCAACATTCACTCACGCATGCACCCACCCACACACGTCAAAGTAGAGTGCTTTACGCTCCTGCTTCATACTCACAAGGTTTTGGGTTTTGATTCTTAATCTGGAGGCTGGTTATCTGGACTTAAAGTTTGTGGTTTTCCTCAGATCTGCCACAAAAGTGGGATAACGCCATAAAACAGGTCACAATCATTTCATTCTAAATACTTTCAAATCCATAATACTGCAACTTCATACTACAGTAGAGTCCTGATTATCCAACATAAACAGGATGAAAGATGGTTGGATAATAAAAAATGTAGGACAATATAGAATACTAATGAAAAATCCAAGGGTGACTATATTCTTCTGCCACCTTTTGCATAGTTTCACCTCTAGTCTTTGTAAGGTTTCAAATTTTGTTCTATTGAAACAACCACTTTTTTGGTGATATACGATTTGAAGATTTTGCAGCAACGTAAGTCAATAAAATCTTCTGATTAAAAGAAGAAACTGACATTTCAGGGACACAGATGGTCTCTGAAACATAGGTTTCTTCTTTTAACCAGTTGATGCGGCTGATCGCCTGAAAAGATGTAATTGAAATACTTCTTTTATCTTTTCACTTGACATGTTAATGAAAAATCACTACTTTAAGATAAACTGGCACATCACATAAAATAGAATGTCAGATGTCTGAAGGGTGGATAATCTGGACTCTACTGTATGCAATTAATAAATATGAGATAGTATTGTTAAATAAACAATGAATCATGCACTAACTTCAAAAAGCACCCACTAACCCACATACCTGTTCACTCACTAATGCACACATTAACCAACGCCATTACTGACTTCCTGAAACACTGTCTCGCTCAGACGTTACAGATCTAAAGCAGGATGGTGTACAACATCACAGTCTTACACACCTGGTGTCTCAGACTTGTCAGCAGATATCACACTGCACACATCCTGATTGATGGCTGATGTTTGACCTTGATCCTTCCGCATCAATTCCTCTAGTTCTCGTTTCTTGGCCTGCAACTCTGCCTGAAGAAGCAGCTGTTGATGTGTTTGAGCATCTACCTTTAGTAGAAATAAACAGATACAGCTAACAAGTTTCCCATCATTCACAAACCTTTGAGGATTCATGAAAACATCCCTCTAATTTTCTTAATGTGAGGGTTAATTTAACCCATTCATAGCATGGTGGCAGGAAACTGTTTTCCAAGCTGTGTCAGATTTCACAGGCTATATTTAATTCGTATCTAGATACATGCTAGTGGCTGATGACTCTACAAAAAGCTAACGTGTTACACAAAAAACAAAAACAAAAAACAGAAATTCATAAGCTGAAAAGTACCAGAGAGAAAGGAAACGAAAGTTATGTTATCTACCTCAGAATTACAGTGGCTAGGAGAGCTACTGTCCATATATAAAAAAGAGTTTCACAAGATATCACTACCTACACACTACTAAACTCAATTCAAGAAAAACAATTAAAATATGAACAAAAATCTACCAGACAGATTGAGCTGTGCATAATGCTGTACAGTGGTCAACAAGCTGATGTAAGTAGGCAGGATCATGCTAACCAGGTACCAGGTAATGTTACAACTGTTCTCCTCTTACCTGT